CGGTTTTGAATCATCCCGAGGTCAGCGGTTAACCGCCGCCGCCGCGGCGCGCTTGCCGTGGAGCCGGTTATCAACGTGCGCGGAAGCAAACAGAGGAATATTGGTAACGCAGGCGCTGCAGTCGAGTCAAGTCGAAGTACTTATGGTGCCTGTCCAACACAAGCGAACGACTCATGCGAAGTTGCGAATATACGTATCCTTGCATGAGCTGCATAAATGTGGCATGAGCACCGATTGAAACATGCTGTCTTATTACAAGGCAAAGTCGCCAGAAACATCAGTATGGCGCTATCTGGACGTATGGATAAGTGAGGTTCTTCGCCACTCGTACCTGGTCCTGTCAAATTAAGCTCGTGTTACCGTGTAGATAAATAGTGGCATTTAGGCAGCACCATGTGCGTAGCGACGACACTACCTGCAATTACATCATTGGATCAACGACATGCAACGACCATGCGTGTCCGGAAGTTGATCCTTCATCAGCGTTAACCATGGGGCCATAGTTTCCTTGCACAGGCAGACAGACTGCTGTGAAACTCAATTTTTCGTGACGCCAACATCTCCATTAGTTGTGGAGGACAGGGCGGCTTCAACCGCGTGCATGCGTGCATGCGTTTGCGACGGAGGCCGCGCGACCCATGGGTCAGTCGCCAGCTGAGCGACTAGAGCGACTGACTGAATCCCGCACTTGAGAAAGTCATAGTAGTACCCGGAGACTCTAACAGGAAATGGCGTTAGCCGCCACATGGGCCGCAGCAACAAGGGCAGCAGAAGAAGGCAGGGCAAGCAAGCATAAAGGGATGTGGTAGCAGGGCGTGGTAGGTGCGTGGAAAGCAGGCTAGGGGCCGCAAGCACCATCTGTGTGCGCGATTGTGCGTGCAGAGCCGTGCTTGAGTAGTGGATTCTGAGGCTTGGGGGCACAGCCATTCGGTGATGAGCACTCCGGTCAAGAAGCGCCGACGTGGAGACCTGGCGTTGGCGTGGCGAGGTTTGATGTCCGGATGTAGAAAGGATTCCAAGCTAGATCGCCATGCATTCATGCACAGCCAAACGACACCTTCTGCTGGCACCGCTGGCGCCTTTGGAGTCTGGGTACGGTAACTCTGTGGTTTATACACGTGGTCACTGTTACCTTGGACAGAAAGTGATGGGTGGAGACGGATGGCGACGCCAGTTCATAAGCCATTATGTATAAATGGCGCTGCACGGCAATACAAAGCCGCGTGAGGTCTATAGGGCCCTTTCGCCATATCTGTAACTGCTACTGCAGTTTCCAACATGTGCTGCGGCTACAGCGTGCTTTGCAATTAAGGGCACACTGCCATGCTTGGAAAGGATTAGTTGCAAGCTTCTTGCGTATCCTTAAAGCAAGCAAGCAAGCGTCGCATACCGGTAGTAGCTTTTTCATGCAGTTCATCAGGTAACGCTCCCTCAGCTAGCTAGCGCAATTAAACTTCTGAGCTACAAGCAAGACGCAGGTGTCATTTATCGAAAGACAAATAGAAAAAAGCACGGCATTTTCTCAATGAGTCCAATATCCAAGGAGATTGATGTCGCCATAGTTGGCGGGGGACTGGGCGGTCTGGCGCTTGCGGTTGGTAAGGTCCGGGCGCCGGCACCAGGCACAGCAGGGAATTAGGCAAAGCATGCATCACCTCACGACGTGCACTGACAGCTTTGCGGCTTGGACACACGCACGTGGGTTTCATGCATGGCAATCACGCCGTCCCCTGCCCTCCATTTGCCTCGTCATACCTTTTTGCCCCGTGTACCTCGCTGTTCCTGCTGCCCGGCCCCCGGCGCCCTGCCATCCTCTTCCTCCTGCCCTGCATGTGCCGCGTCATACAACTCGTCAGTTTCTTCCTTTTTGCCCCGCCTGCACGCAGGTCTACGCCGGCGCGGTCTGGACGCTCACGTGTTCGAGGCTTCTCCCCAGCTGCGCCATGAGACCAGCACCATGATCGGACTGGGACCCAACGCATTCGCAGCGCTGGGCGACTTGCACCCGGAACTGCCGGAGGACATGCGGTGGGTATAACGGATATGGCAATGAGGCAACTCAGGAAGCGAGCTGTCCCGTCTAACCCCAGCCTGTTTCCCCTCCTGCGTCTTGCATGCTTTCCCTCTTGGCATGGCTCTGTACGGTGGCAGGCGGCGAGGTGTGCTTAACAGCCAGACGCTGGCACAGTACAGGCCTCCTGGCAAGGAACCGCACTGCATCACTTTCCCCAACACGGAGCTGTACACCATCCGCTGGGCGGAGGTACGGTCTGCTGTTATTGGTTGGCGGGTTGGATGGTGGTCAGGAGAGGAATCGATTAGATTGCCGGGTTCACATTCATGCGCTGTATTTTTCCCTAGTCTACACGCAGAGAAGTACATGGCGAAAGGGTGGGCGAGCCACGCCCGGTGGGTTTTGTCCCTCATACGTCATACCTGTTATCGTAGCTAATGCCCCCCTTCGACTCAGACTTCGCAACTGCCTGCCATCATTACCTACTTCTCCCTCAGGCCCAGGCCGCTCTGGCCCGGTTGGTGCCCCCTGATGTCGTGCACTGCAACCACGCCGCCACGGGGTACGAGGAGGTGTGGAAGGAAGACGAGGGGACGCGAGCGGCGGACGGCAGCCGACCCGCGGTTCGCGCGGTGGTCCACTTCCGCGGCCAGCCCAGCGTCAGTGCGCGGCTGGTGGTGGGGGCGGACGGGGTGTTCTCGGCCATCCGGGCAGCCATGTATCCGGATGACCCGGGGCCGCGGTGAGGGGGGGGGGCGGGGAGGAGCGGGGAGGGCGGGCTCTGGAGTATGGGAAAGGGAATTTGGCAGGGCAATGATGGGTGACGGGGACAATGATAGGAACATGCCAGCTCGCTTTCTGCATCAGAATCAACCATTCTCGGCCATCCATGAGCATCCCTTACTTACTCTCGACCCCTTCACACCATCAGACCTCCCCCTTCCTGCCCTCCCATCCTCCGTTCCCCCTGCAGCTACCTGGGCCACATGAACTGGAACTGCCTGCTGCACAACCCGGGGGGAAACACGGTGGTGGAGGCGCACAAGCCGGGTGAGGGGGATGGGGTGGCGGGGCTGGGGGCAGGGACTGGGGGCAGGGAGGTTGGCATGCTGCGAGAGAGCTGTTAGACGCCCTTCCTTGCCCACTCATGACAGCAGTTGCAGTAACACCGCACATGTGCGCGTGACCCATGATGATTAGAGCGGCCCGGCTTTGCGCCCTGCTGCCCTCTCCCCTGTAGCCCAGCTGCTCTACACGACGAATGGCGAGTTGGGCTCATCGCAGCAGGTGGAACCCACTCTGATGACCATGGTATGCGATGCTGGCGGCGGTTACACGTTCTGGCAGGTGCGGAAGTGGCTGCAGCAGGGAGGCAGCTGCGCTGGGGCCCGCAGCTGCATGCGGCTTACTGGACGGAGGTCATATGAAGGTTGATTACATACGGTAACCAGATGGCCGCAAAGCTCCTTCTGATGTCGGGACGAGACAAAACCGTACAGTGGCCAGGGGGGTGACCGAGGCAGTGGTGTGGCGGGGCACATCTGCTGCTGCCGGTGCTGGCGTAGGTCAAACAAAACGGCAGATAACCCACACATCTCTCCCTTGCGTAGTCCTTTGCCTCACCGTCTACTGCCTCGCACCTTCCCCACAGTGTCGCGTGCAGTACGATGAGCCGTCTTTCACGAACGACGAATTCAAGGCTCCCCAGCCGGCTGCTGCGGAGCTGACCCACGGCAGCACCAGCAGTGGTGTTGGTACTGCCGGCCCTGCTGTCGTTGCTGGTGACTGTGGGGACCCTGCCGCCGCCAACGGTGCCGCCAAGAGCATTAACATGGCTACTGTGGAATCCGGTGGCGGCGAGGCCAGGTCCTGGAAGGGTCGCGGAGGCCTGGGTGTTGCTGGCAGCAAGGCGCGAGTGATGTCCATCCTGAAGGTACCGGTCCCAGGCAGCCGCAGCGGCTGGGGAAGGAACGTAGATGCTGGCATCCGTGGGGACCTTCGGCTTTTCATTGCTCTCTTTACACGATGGCGTAGCCAAGCTCTGTATTCACGAAGCAAGGTGACAGATGCGACAAGTGCATTGCTCCCCCAACGGGTGCTCCTCCTCTCCTGTCTCCTCGCCGTCCTCTCCCGCTCTCCCCCTCCCCGTCTCTCCCTCAGTCCGCGGGTTGGCACTGGCTGCTGCCGCTGGTGTCCGCCACCCCCGAGTCCGCGCTGTTCGAGCGCGCGCTGTACGACCGGCTGCCGCTGCCGCGCTGGGCCGCTGCGGGCGGGCGCGTGGTGCTGCTGGGGGACGCGGCGCACGCCATGCACCCGGGGCCGGGGCAGGGGGCACGGTCGGCGTTCGAGGACGCGCACCAGCTGACCCTGGCGCTGGCGGAGCTGTGGCCGGACGTGCCGGAAGCGCTGGAGCGGTACCAGCGGGCCAGGATCGTGAGGTGAGGGGGGGGCCATTGGGGGGGCACATGGGGGCGTACAGGGTGCCGGCATGGCGGTGAGACGGGCGTTACAATACATGGGGGCGGACAGGGGTGTGCATGATACCCCTGCTGGTTTAGGCTGAGGATGGGGGCTAACAGCAGCTTAAAACAGGCTCGGGTTCAGGCCCGCTTGTTTTCCCCTTTCCTTATCCTCCACACACATCAGGCCCAGTCGCGTGCAGCTGCTGTCTGCTGAGGGCTCCGGCCTTCCCGCCATCCGGAACGCGGCCCGGCCCCCGGGTTTGAACCCGGTGGAGCGGCGGGAGCGGTTTATGGAGTTCCGCACCTGGTTCAATCAATACCCGGACAACATGGAGGGAGATCCCAACAGCAAGTGGTGGAAGCCGCTGTTGTCTCCAGGGCGGCGGGAGCAGCAAGAGCAGCAGAAGTAGCAGCGGCAGCTCCTGTAGCAAGCTATGTGCGGAAGGAGCAGTGTGTTCACGCGTTTCTCAGGCGATGATGGCTGCGCGAGGGGGTGGGAACGTGTGAGGTTGCGGCCGGAAGGACTGTGGACGTAGGTAACAAATGGTTATGTTGCACGGATGACACGGTGTTGGCTAACACGTTCGCCAGCATTCCGCAGCAGGCGTTCCACCTAGTTTCGCTCCAACCTGCTAATGTGAAACCGTACTGCTGTATCTGCTTTGACGCTACAAACACCCTACCATGCCATAGACCCACACGTTAATGACCCAAGGGTCTCGGGCGCATGTTCGATCACCGTTTGCCACTTTTTGCCAAAGGTTAACCTTGACTGCAGGTAGCTCCTATATATAAGTATCCCACAAACAGGATAAGCCCCGACTGCAAGGATTGTGTCGAAGCAAAAGGTGTTTGTTGCCAAGACAGCCGCCCCCATGCCTACACAGCAATCCTCAGTTCCCTCCCTCCCACTCCTTAAGCCCGCCTAACCTCCCAGGTAAGGGAAGCCACAAGTGGTGTGCCATGGATACGTAGCGAACCGGAACACTCGCCACTACGCAATACCAGGCGTGCCAACGTAACCGTTTGCGCAAGTCCGGGACCTACCCCACACATGCAAGAGAAGACTAAAAAGCCATTCACTCCACCCTTTCTTCCCTTGCAAAAAGGACACTCCTGAAGCCCTCCAAACGCTCATCACATCACATGCTCTCTTTCTCCTTGGCTCTCCTAGGCCTGCAGCTGCCTCCACCGTTTCATCACATGTGTTTAACAGCTCAATCGCATGACCTTCAAGCCCAACCTCTATAACGCTTTTCCTTCTATCTTCATGTTGCCTCTCCAGGAAACCTGCGCGCAAGCAATCGTGTCCGCACGATCGCACGGCAGGCAGCTCCCTTGATCCCGCCTAACAGCCTCTAAAATCCCTCTCAGCAAAAGCCAACAGTACTGAGACCCACTGGACACCCCCTTGCACCATGCACCGCAATGCCCCGCCCGCATGTCCCCTCAAGTTCCGCCAGTAGCAACGTCAAGAGCGTTGCCCTTCCCACTTAAGTTCAAACGAAACAACGGGCTCTAGCATCGCTAACTGCCCTCCGTTAACCCATTTACCTCTTGCATTTGTCCAAGATCGTCCCACCTAGGCGGAAAGCCCTTCCACACAAAAGTGGTGCCCGGTCCCGATTACTAACAACCTGTCTTACCTTGCCCCCGACTGTTGAGGCCTACGTAGTACTTACACCGCAAACGTCAGCTGCGGCTCACATCTTGCAATGCAACATAACCCATAGCCGATCAGTGTTTATCGCCCGTAATGCTCCTCATCATCACATGTAAGTGGTGTAACGCTTCATTGTTCGCACATTGTTGCATCTTGCGTTGCACACACCACATACACACCACAGTACTCCTCGTCTCCCGTGGCGTTCTGGTGGGGACATCATCTTCCGACAGTCCAGTACGTTCCTCCTCGCGAGCCAGTCTTCTTAACGCATCACAGTTCCGGCTCCTGGCCAGTTCTCTTAACACACCACGTCACACCCCACCCCAATGCTATCGACATTCCCCGGACATTCAGTCAAACGTCAACGTCCCCTCCGGGTAGCGATTTACACGCCCTTCCCCACCCGAACGATTAAGGAAAGTATACCTAACCAGCTCCGAACGTACTCCGGGTGATCAGGCCACAGCATGTGCCCGCGCCCTACCAATCATTAGTTCCTTCCTCTTAACCCTACTGTTATTGCTTAACTGGCGGATATGCCATGCAGGTTCCTTCGTTCAGCGGTACGGCAAAACTAAGCATTACGAGTATCTCTCCACCTATACGCCAACAACATATGGTTTTAATGTGTTGCGCGCACAGTACGCACGTGTTCTTTGCGCGCAGCAAGGTTCATAAATTCCGCGATCTAGCCCCATGAAGCAGAGGGCTACGAGGCACAACCCTCGCTCATAGGCCCTCAAAGCGTGTAAGGCCCATACCAGCATCCTCAGAGCACCGGTGGCAACTAGCAGCCCTGCTTTGCTATTATCCGAATCATGCCCCATACACACACACGCCATTGCAGGATCCAGCCAAAAAGTTAACTTCCCAAACCATGAACCATGTCAACAGCCGCCCCCGCTCAAGTAGATCGCGAGTATGCACGCACGCGACGCCACCCGAGCATCACACGCGTGTGCACTCCTCTTCGTTCGCCGAGCTCACGGATTCGAGTATATGCACACACTGTCGCACGTTACAACCGATGAGGATTCGGTCATTCCCGTTACCCATCCCATCGACAATCGCGGAACTTCGCGTCTTCGTACATTCAATCACGGGAACGCTGAGCGGTCAAAGGCAGGCGCTGCATTCCCCCATGCCATGGCCTCCATCTGGGCTGCTGCCGCGCTTGCAGCCGCATGCTGAGGGGGCGGCATTGTATGGCCGGTGCCGGTGCCTGTGGTGACGGTGGGTATCCGGCCCAACATGACGGACGGGAGAACCGCGGCCGCCATGTGCCACTGGGCGCGTGCGGAGCTGTTCCTCTGCGGCACACAAACACCCATACACAGTTTCCTTAAGACACAGTTTGAGACACGGGGAGCCATGAGAAGCAGAGGCATGTGCGATGGTGGCGTGGTAAATGACAGTTACGCGACTCTATTGTTCCTACCTTCTTAAACAACTTAAACACGCACAGCAGCAGCAGCACACTGTACAGCGGTAGCAGCAGCACGTGTAAAGACGTTGCATCACAGCACAATACGCGTCATGGCAAGGTTTCTCTTGACAAAAGCAGTACCGGTTCGATCTACAGCCATCCTACACTCGTTGCGTCCTCGCTACCACCGTCCTCGCTACCCCACTCACCGCGAGCGTCCGCCGCTCATACCCCTCCTCACAGCCGCCACTCCCGCCTCCACCAGTGGACCCAGCAGTCGCAGCAGCCGCCCTGCCGTCCGAGCCCTCCTCATTCCATGCCGGCGGCCGCTCCCATGCCAAAATCCCCTCCGGCGCATGCGGGTCGAACAAGTGCGACATGCAGCTGCCCATACCCGAGCTGTAATGCGCATGCACGCCGGGAGACACATCCGCCGGCGGACCCCCCGTGTCCTCAGCCATCTCCGCGAGTAGCATCCCAATGACGCTGTCGCGTCGAGGTATGACGTGCCGCCGCGCTGCTCCAGTAGCCACCAAGTGCGGGGGACTGCCGCCGTCGAAAGGAGCCGCACACGTGGTGGCGGCGGAGCCGCCGCCGCCACCGCCATGCCCCTCGCCGGCGCCGCCGGCCATGCCGAGTGATGACCCGCCCGTCCAGCCTCCCGGATTCGCGTGTGGGTTGCCGGTGCCGCCTCCCGCCGCCCCAAGCATGGACCGCCAATGAGAGCCCACAGGGTCGCCTGACGCCGCGCCGCGGATGGACATGGGCAGCTCTGAAGCCACCCGCTTAGGCAGGCGGCGAGCGGGCCGCAGCGGCAGCACTGCAGCCGCCGGTGACGCCGCCTGCGGTGCCACCCCTGCTGGCGTTGCTGACACGCCGGCAGGTAGCGCGGCGCCAAACCCGTCATTGCAGCCGCCACCGCCGCCGCCGCTGCCGCCAGCCGTCATGCTGCCCCCGGGACTGAAGATAGCCCGCAGCAGGCTGTGTCTCCTCCGCGGCGGCCCTTTGGCTCGGGCAGCAGTGCTGGCGGAGGTTCGCACCTCGCCTTGATGATGGCCCTGCTCCGCAGCAAACGGCGGTGGCGGGCTGTTGGGACTAAGCGGCGAAGCGGAGGCGGAGGACTGCTCCACTGGGACGCCTCCAAGGGGCTGTGCTCGGTAGCCCTGTGCGCTTCGGCTGCGGCTTGCTGCATCGTGTTGCAGCTGCTGTTGCTGCTGGAGGTGCTGCGGTAGCGGCGGGTGGTGCGGATGGTGCTGCTGCGATTGAGTCATGGCAGCTTGGAGGGCTTGGAGGCTGCTGTCGCGGCTAAGGGATTTCCGGCCCGGCGCACGAGGGAGGGCCTGCATGCGCACCTGGGCCGGCATTTCTAGCATGGCTGCGCGGCCTGAGACGAGCTGCACGTGCTGTGGCTGCTGCGGTTGATGCTGCTGCTGTTGTTGTTGTACGGCTTGCCGCTGTTGTACAACGTGCTGTTGTGTTGCCGTACGCTGTATATCCGCCTGCTGCAGTTGCTGCAGCAACTGCAGCCCCAGAAGCCGCTGCTGTTGTTCAAGTTCCTGTTGCTGCCGCTGTTGCTGCTGCATGGTGTGGGAAGACCTGGAGCGGATGAGGGAGCGACCTAGGGCGTCGGCGGCGCCAGGGGGCGTTGAATGACATGCTGCTGCAGCGGCGACCCCAGCCGACGGCTCCGTCAACAAGGTTGGTTCAGGGGGACGTGGAAGGGAACAAGCAGCAGGGTCGGCTTCGGCGCTTTCCGCTGCACTTGCCGCCAGGAAAGCAGCAGCGGCGCCAACCGCTAGCGCTTGGCTCGATGCGTGCCGGTGCTTCAAGTGCATGGGAATCGAGGGAAGGGTACGGATGAAGGGGACGGTATCAGGGCAGTGCGAGCGGTAGGCGGGTTGAGAGATGAGTAGGTATGTAAGCAGGCTAGCAGGGCACGTGGCACAAGGGCCCATGCTGCAGTTTAGGAGCCCGCTAGACCACAAACCGGCCTATGCATGCTAGCACGAAGCATTAAACAAACAGGTTCACGGAACACATGCATGGGCTTGATGTTCCGTCCACTCGCGCCCAGCCGAGCTCAACCCGCACGGAGACCTACCGGCAGACGGAGATGCTGGCCACCGGCTGCTGCCACAGCTGCCCCAGTCGAAGTGCCGGCATCGTCCCTTGCATCCAACTCCGTGCCACCATCAACACCACCACCAAAGTAATCGGCTCCGCTTCGTCTGCGTGCGGCAGTGCTGCTCCCGCCCCGGCCAACAGCTGCGTCCTCGTCGACGCCGCTGCCGCAGCCGGCAGCAGGTGCCGCCGCAGCAGCTGCTACGACCTCAGCAATAGCGCCGCTGCGTGAGTCCCGGTCCGCTGCCGTGACGGCGGCGACAGCGGCGGTGCCCGGCTGCGAAGCGGCTGTCGCAGCTGACGGCGCCATCGCCTCCGCAGCGCCCTTGGAACTCAGCGCCAGACGGCTAGCCTCCTGGGATTCCGCTGCTTCCACATCAGTCCGGGATAACGAAGAGTTCAAACCCAGCAAGCTGCTTGGGGCACCGGCGCCAAGGCTACTGTTCTTGCGGCTTAGGCTGCTGCCGAAGGCGCCGCCGCCAGGCATGACCCCGGTGCTGCCGCCGCCGCCGCCGAGCGTGCTCTTCCGTCGCAGTATTGTCTGAGGGACGTACGAGCTCGAAGGAACGCGGAGGGACTCAAAAGGCGATGCAGACACCGGCCCGGCAGCGGAGACGCCTGCGCCACTGGTTGTTGGCGCTCCCATGCTGCCGTACCGAGACGGCGGCATCCGTACGTCATCCGTACTGTCGTCAACGGCGCAGCCGCCGCTGACGCTGACGCCATGGCTCGTCGGCACGCGCGACGTCGCCCCAGGCGTCGGCGAAAGCGAACCGTACGACATTTCTGTCGTACTAGCAGGCGTCCGCTGCCCAGCTGCAGCATGTACGGCGTTTGCGCCGTACTGCCCAGTGGTGGCACCGTTGACTCCAACGACGGCAGGGGCGGCAGCACTGCCCACTCGACTGCCGCCGCCGCCAGAACCAAAACCAAAGGCTGCTTTCAAGTTATTCCAACCACGCACAATGTTCTGTTTACTCATGTTGCGTCGGGGCCCTCGTTTCGCCGCTGCCTTGACAGCGCCTGCATCTGAGGTGGCACCCTCGCGCGGCGTTACTGTCGTACCACCGTACGACAGCACAGATCCTGATGCGCCATCTGCCGTACCTCCCCTTGTCGTGCCTTCCGTCGTATCGCCGTCGCAACTCTCAAGTAACGTGGGCACGGAGGTCTTGCTCCTGAGCGACGGTGGCGGCGGGTGCACCCGCGCTGCAAGCGCTGGAGACGAGTTGAAGGCCTCTTCCATAACGACACTGCCGCTGCAAGTGGCGCCGCGACCTACACCGCCCCCGGCGCCTACGCTGCATCTCGAGGCATTCAGGGTTGCAAGGACGGCCTCCAGCGATGCGGCCAGAGCCGTGGAGCCGTCCAAAATAAGGCCCATGGACTCTCCGCCACCGCCACCACCGCCGCCGCCGCCCGGAATGTGCGTCTGCGCAGCGCTCACACTCGCCGCGTTGACCGCAGGTTGGCTCTGCGTGCCCTGTCGGGTACTTTGTTGAGTTCGGTCCGGGCTGACGTTGGCCGCGGTGACCAGCTCACCCTGCAGCTCGCCTTGCTGCATGTCCAGCTCGGGGACGAGAACAAAGTAGCCGCCGCTCCCCGCATGGGCCAAGCCTTGCTGCTGGTGACCGTGCTGCTGCTGCTGCTGTTGCGACATGAGCGGTTCCTGGTGTTGATACTGGGCTTGTGGTTGCTGGCCTTCTCGTTGTTGATGCTGCTGGTGTTGCTGCGTGTAGTGCTGCAGTCGGTTTGGCACCACCTGCCGCTGCAGAGGCGATAGGGGGTGACCCGACGTGTGATGATGTGCCGGCACGTGTTGGCTGTTTTGGTGGGCAGGTTGGAGGTGGTGATGAGAGGCAAGCGACGCCTGGGATCCGCTCTGGCGAAGCGCAAGAGCGCCAGAACTTGACGCCAGTGCCGCACGACGAGGGCTGTCGCCACCGCGCCGCAAAGCCCAAGAGTTGGATCCATGGGTAGCGCCGCCGCCGCCGCCGTCGCCGACTGCCACGTCGACCAAGCCGGCGGACATAGCTGTCGCATAACCTGCCAACGAATTGAAGGGGCTGCGTCCACGTGACACGGGCCGACCGCCGTGGGAGGCAGCAGCGGCGATGGCAGCGTTAGCGGCCGCCGCCAAGTGAAGGTTAGCGGCACTGAAGTTAGGCTTAGTCTGCATGGGGCTGACGGGCAGCATGACACTTGGCGACGGAGGAACCATCCCGCTGACATCGGAGGAGCCTAAGCCAGCGCTGCCGTCGCTGCCGCCAGCGGCGGCCGCAACGTTACCGGACGTTACGTTAAACAGGGCGCTGCGTGGGCGATGTACGGACGCCGCCGCCGCCGCCGACCCTCCGGATCGACTTCCGCCAGCCGACGCCGCCGCCGCCGCCATGGCTGCTGCAACCGACGTCGACGCCAGCGACTGGTCTTCCAGCGGTAGACCCAGCATGGACCTGCTTTCGCACACCTCAATCACACCCTCGGGACGACCGTCGTTGTTACCCGCAGCCAGCAGCAGCTCAACAAACTCCTCGTTCCCTAGCATGTTGCCAAACACCACGGACGAGTTGCGGCGCGGCTTGCGGATGGTACTGCTGCCCACTCCGCCGCCTCCGTCGCCGCCTCCGCCGCCTCCGCCGCCGGCAGCTACCCCAGACGCCATGCCAGTCGACACCAAGCCGCCGCTGCCAGCGCTGCCGCCCACGTTAGCACCGCTGACATGCGCCGCAGTCACAATGTACGTTGAAGAACAAGCAGACGAAGCAGACGGCATCGCCGGAATCGCCGTCGCCGCCGGCGCCGCCGCCGCTTGCCCGACCCCCGCACCCGTTTGTCGATCCTGACTGGCGAAGGAGGGCAGTACGGAACCAGCACCAGCGCCAGCACCAGCAGCGGCAGCGGCGGCCGCAGCCTCGCTCAGAAGACACGCCGACGAGGCGGCGGGTCGCATGCCCAGCTGCGACGGGCGCTGGGAGAGCGTTCCGCGCATACCGTTCATGGAGACACGCGGCATGAGGTTAGCGCGAGCAGCCATGAGTACGGCACTAGGGGTGCTGCGGGTGTGGGACATGACCAACAGGCCACCGCCGCCACCACCGGCCATAGAGCCGGACACGCTGGCGAGAGCGCCAGATGCCGCGGCGCCGCCAACGCCTCCGCCAACGCCGCCGACACTTCCCATTCCTAGGCCGCCGGCATCGTAATCCTCGCTGGCTTCCATCCGGAGCAGCGCTATGTGGCCTGGCAGGCCTGATGAGGCAATACCACCCGACATGCCCAGCGGGTCCGTGTGCTGGTGGTGCAGGTGCTGCTGCTGCGGTTGCTGCGGGTGATGATGATGGTGAGAGTGGTGAGCGTATTGCGGCTGTTGCTGTTGTTGTTGTTGTTGTTGTTGCACGACAAGTTGTACGGCATGCTGCTGCAGCTGCGACGGCGGCACGCCAGCTTGTCGCCGTACGGATAGCTCCCCGGGGGTGAGCACCTCGTAACCCTGCAGCAGCTCCGGAGGCAGCATGGAGCTGATGTCCCGAGGCCGCGCCCCCACGCTGCACACCCGGCCACTGCGGCCCATCACGGAACTCGACGGAAGCAGCGATGACGTGTTGCCGCCCCCGCCTCCGGCGGCAGCGGCCTCCGTCGTACGAAGCCGAAGGGGGCTGGAGGGCCACTGTCCCACTGAAGCCGATCCACCGAGCGCCATAGCCGGCCCTCCGACTGCAACCGTTGAGGAGGACGCGGAGAAAGGGCCTTTCATGAGGCGGCTGGCTGCGGCCGAAGAGGGGCGGGAGTGCGGTCCGGTAGCGGCAGCAGCAGTGCCGGTGCGAACAGCAGCCGCACCACCGGCGGCGGCCAGCGCATCGCCGGAGGTGGAGGCAGGTGCTGCCGCAGCAGCGGTGGCTGCGGCACCGGCACTAGCAGTAGCAGTAGCAAAGCCGGCTGCCGCAACCTGTCCCAGCCGTACATGCACGCCTGAGCCCATGCTGCCCCCCGTACTCGGGGTGGAGTTCAGGTGCGTCATGAGGCGCGTGCCGGAGAAACCCCCCGCGGGCTCGGAGGCGAGCGAGGTTAGCGGGTCGTTCTGTGAGCTGCTGGTGAGCTGCTGTGTTCGAAGGGAGTCCTTGAGGTCCATGCAGGGGGTGGAGTGGGGTGGTTGGTGCGGCTGCAGCTGGGGTTGAGTGGAGGATGCGGTTGGGAGCTGCGGCTGGGACTGAGAGAACTGGGGTGGCGCGGGTCGTGGGTGCGGCTGAGCGGCTGGGGGCTGGGGGTGTGGCTGGGGGTGTGTGAAGAGGGATCCTGACGGGTGGGAGAGGGAGGGGTGGGTGCAGCAGGAGAGGACTGGGTTAGCTTAGCGTGCCCTTTTTGGGTGCGAGGCCCTCCTTTCCGTGTCGTATCCTAGCACGTCCAACAAAGCAGTGGAAAGCAGCGAAGGAAAGCGGCCGGCTTACCAACACACAACATGAAAGCGTTACCGGGTGGGCAACAGGGCAGGGTGCGCAGCCCGCGCAAAGCTAGCAGTCGCACCTGAGGCCCCAAACGGGGATTGCTCCGAGGCGGACAGTGGAAGCAAGCTGCCACCCAGCTCCGAAGATGGAGCCTCCGCGGTCGTGGCAAACACAGACGTCACTTCCATGCCTTGCCCTAGCGGTGAGGCTGTGGGGCGACAAGTGGACGGCAGGTGGGGAGGTAAAGTTAGGGAAGACACAGAGGGGCAGCGACAACTGGGTTAGAAGCGCGTAAGGTATGCGTAAGGGCTACGGGGGCTATTCCCAGCACTTTTCGCTCTCCCTGACGAACGGTAACACCCACGACGTTAACTTCGTCCCCATTACACGTGTCGAAGGCCCAACCAAACACACCACCATGCGCATTCGCGCCATGCCTTACTTGGAGGCGCTTCACAGGGCGCGCCTTCCGCGCCCGTGCTGCGTAACTGGGGCGGCAGCGGCCCTTGAGCGACCCGTGGGACACCCCGAGGCCCCGCGGCGGCCGCCGCTGCTGCCACAGCGCGCCATTCAGCAGTACGTGCGTCCCTCTCCGCAGCTCGTTTAGCACTCCCCGAGAACGGTAGTGTCAATGAGGCAGCAGGGGCCCCGCCGCCGCCGCCGCCGCCGCCGGCGCCTTCACTGGCACTGGTCGGCACGCGCGGCGCCGACGGCGGCGGCTGCCGTGGCGACACGAGCGGCTCGATTTCACAATGCGATGCAGCGGAGCAATGTCGCGATGAATGCTCGTCACCGTACGCCAATACGGCAACCGGACTGAATGGCGTATAGCTACTGCTCCCCCTTCCCGTAAAGCTCCCTCCGGCGCCACTGGCCGTCATGGCGGCTGCCGCAGCAATGGCGGCGCCCATAACGCTTCCCCGCATGCTGCCCAAACGACTGCCGCCGACGCTGCTCACTCGCCGCTGTAACGCCGACGGCGGCGGCGACACAGTCGGCGCCGCCGCCGTCGACCCAATGCCGCCGCCGCAGCTCCCAGCCGTCTGCATGGCCCCGCGTATGCCTTTAGGAATGGTCACCGACGGCACTGACGTCAGCAGGTTCAGCGCGTCGGCATCGACCTCGCCGTCGGCTCCGTCGCCGCCAATGGGCAGCGACGTACGACTCGCCAGCAACATCTGCAACCGCGAGGCGTTACTGGTAACCGACACGTGCGCGATCGCCACGCGACTCGTATCGACGCTTTGGCGGCGGAAGGACTCCGCGCTGCGATGACGATCCAATCCAGGGTGCGTCGTCGTCGGCGGCGTGTCGCCGCTGCTGCCAGGGAATTGCCGCTGTCGTACAGCCGACGACGACGCCCCTCGTACGGATCCGTCGCCGCCGCCAGCGGCCGTTATACTGAGTGCTGAACGCATGATGGTGACACTGGCGGAAGCGAGATCCGCGGCGGGGGAGGATCGTACGGCATGGGTGCCGGCGGAGGTACGAGGCGGAGATCGTCGTACGGCAGGTGCATTGCGTGCCGCCCCTGCTGCTGCCGCCAGGTCAGGATTGAATAGGGTTCGGTAGTCGGCGGGGGTGTGAGTGCCGAACATGCTGTGTAGGGGCAGGCAGCCGGTGGATGGCTGAGGAGCAGATGGCGCCAGCCAAATAGCCAGGGAGGGGGCGAGTTGCACACAGGGGTTGGGGGGGTGGGAAAGACGGTGGGCGGTTGCTAAGGTAAGATAAGAAATCACAAGCTGTACCTTGCCCCCTTTCCGCTCCCTTTTCATTGTTGTGTTCTCCGCCTCGTCTATCCGGCTTTCCAGGCATCTGTGCCATCGCATGTCACCCTTCGCTTTCCAGTGCCAAGTCCTCCCCTCTAAAACCTGGTAAAGCCGGTGGTACTCCCTCCTTCCTTCCTTCCTTCCCCACCAGCTCCCCCACCACCCCCACCTTGACCCGTGTGGTCAGCCCCATGTCCCGCATCAGCTGGTCGTGGTAGGCCTGCGAGTACCACTGGATGAGGCTGCCGCGGTTGTGCTGCGGGGGGAAGGCGTGCCGCCGCCACCTGCGCAGGACGGGGTGGGGGGTGGGGGGTGGGGGGTGGGGGGGAGAGCAGCAGCAGCAAGACAAGTTGTCTTAGACAACATGACAACAAGAGCCGGGGTTGGTGCCAGGTGTAATGTGCGTGTTTTGGAAGGAGGTGAAGGGCTAGTGCATGCTATAGCCCCAACATCGCACATCAAACCCCTGCCTCCCCCCCCTCCCCGATTCTCATTCAACTCATTGGGCATCCTCCTCCAACCCCCCCCCTCCGCACCTCCGCTGCAGGTACACATCGGCCTTCATGTGGCGCATGCTGGGCAGCTCCAGCCGCCCGCTCACCAGCGCCGCCACCCAATGCGACTGCAGGCTGGTGGTGAGCCAGGAGTAGGGGCTGCTGGTCTCGCAGCCCAGGAAGGCGAGGGAGGGCACCGCGGGGGGGACCATGGAGCGGTACAGGTGCAGCCCGTCCTTGCGGACACCCAGGCTGGCCTGCGGGGGGTGGGGGCAGGGCAGGGAGGGGGGGAAGCGGGGCTTACTGGCAGGGAAACAAAAATTCAAGGTGAAGCAACGGAGACCCAATCCCAGGAAGGGGGGAGAGGGGAAAGATAGACCGGACGAGAACAGCAGCATGTTGGGCGGGGGGATCAGCAAGCACTGCACACTAAGGCGCAGCACAGCAAACATGGATGTCTTTAGGCGCCAGCCCTCCCCACCTCATCCCCACCTACCTGCAGCTCCGGGTCAAACACCGTGTAGTTCCGGGTGTACGGCGTGCAGTGTACGAGCACGGTGGCGGGCAGTGTCGTACCGTCCTTCAGAACCAGGAAGTCGGGACCCAGCCGGCTGATGTCGCCTGTGCATGGGGGAGTTGGGGGTGGGAGGCGGGGTAAGTGGGGGTGAGGGAGAGGGTGGCATGGGAAAGCCAGTCCATATCCCTCCCTCCCTTCCTCCCTCCCTGGTGCTTCATCTTCTGCCCGGGTGCCTTCCATCCCATGCAAGCCCCACCACCACCCGCCCCGCTCCCGCCCCCCTCCCCTCGGATGCCTTACCTCGCACCAGCCTCACAGATGAGCCCTGCAGCACCCCCACCCAGTTTTCCTTCTCCGCGCCAGCCTTTGGGAGCAGCAGGAGGCGGCAGGGGGCAGGGGACAGGGAACACCGTTACTTTCAACGAAGAAGACCTTTAAGGAGTACAACAGGCAAGGCACAAGCACGATACCGGTTGCCGGACAGTTCCCTCCCCCCTTAGCTTAAAGCTCCCTCTCCCCTTCTCCTATCCTACTTCTACCCCTTACTTGTAATGTGGCCCCCTGCCGCTTCCCATCCTCATCGCTTTGCCCTAACCTGAAATTTCCTATGGTTTGGGTTGGACTTTATTACCCCCGCCCCCGCCCCCACCTGCACAACACATAGGGTATTCTTCTTTTCCCACCTGCACGCTGTAGAACATGTCCCGCAGCAGGCTCACGGGCGGCCGGGTGGCCTCATCCAGTCCGTGCTTGCGACTCAGCCGCCGCTCCAGACGCCACCAGAACAGCCGCCGCAGCGGGGCCAGCGCCGCACTGCAGCCGCGCGCCGCCCGGCCCGCGGTGTAGTAGGGCGGCAGCAGCAGCCAGGGCAGGCAGCGGCTGTAGGCCAGGTGCGGCAGCGCGCGACCCAGGAGCTTGGTGGGCAGCGGCCAGTGGGGCTGGGAGGGGAGGAGGGGAGGGAGGAGGAGAGGGGAAAGGGAGGCGGTTAGGAAGGGCGAAAAGCCGGGGCACGGAGCCTAATGCCCTATGGAACACACAACGCTGTACCAGCACCTTTGCAGTGCCCCATCCCACCTGCTGTCCACTGCCCCCAATACCCCCCTCCCTCCCCCCTTCCCCCCCTCACCTGGTGGTACAGCAGAGTGACACTGGCTGCCCCCGCCGCCGCCGCCTGCCGTGCGCAGTCGACCGCCGCCTTGTCGTCGCCCGCCACCACCACGTGCTGCCCCGCCACCAGCGGCCCCGCGTCCCGGTCGCGCAGGTCGCGGCAGTGGCAGCGCACACCCGAGAAGTCGGAGGCGCCCTGGGGGGGAGGGGAGGTGGGGAGGGGAGGGTGGGGGGAAGGACATGGGGGGTGGCGTAGATGGAACGCAACATGGCTGGTTGGGAAGGAAATTGTGGGGATTTTCACCAAGGATTGCCATTGCCATGTTCTTTCACAGCAAGGCATCTTTCCTTCCAACCCATGTCCCATCCCATCCCTCGCTCCCCCCCTCCCATGATGACGCCTTATCACACGGTTCGTTAGTCGTTTCCCCTTTACCCCCCTCCCCCCACCCACCGGCAGCTGCGGCACCGCCGGCGCCAGGCACGCTCCCGCGCTGATGACCAGGAAGTCGGAGGTGAGGCGGTGCAGGCGCTGCGGGTCCAGCAGGTCGCTGCACACGATGGCCCAACGGCCGTCCTCGCCCACCTTAGGTGGGGGGAGAGAGGGGGGAGAGAGGGGGAAGGAGAGGGTAGTGGGCAGGGCGGTTGGGTGTGGGAGGTTGTCCAGCTGAGCCGCGAGGAAGGAAACGCCCACCCACCTGCTGTACCTACCCGTCTGCGGTAAATTATCCTAATCTACTTCAACACCTCCCCCCACACACATGCAACCCACACCTGCGACCAGTTTTCCTACACACCACCCCCACCCCCCACCTGCGCATGCTCCAGCTTGCAGCTGAATATGATGTGTTGGCGCAGGTTGAATCGCTCCACGAATCCCAGCAGGTAGCGGTGCAGCGCCTCGGGGGAGGCGCCGGCGGGGGGCAGGTGCTCGGGCAGCGAGAACAGCTGCTCCAGGTCTGGGGGACAGGGGAGGGAGGTGGGGAGGGAGAGGGAGGGGGAGGGGGGGAAGATGGGAGGGGGCAGGGGAGAGGTGAAGGGAGGGGCAGGGGGTTACCCATGAACTGAACCGGAAGGGAACACCGATCTACCGGTGACCAACCCAAGGAGCGTGGGATGAATGGCCATGTGGGTCAGCGCCGGGATGATGTGGGTCACGTGGATGCAAGCGCGGGACCTAGCGCAGAGGCGTGGGTAGGGTGGAGGAAGAAAGGAGGTCGAGCGAGCAGGGCCTGGGAGGGCCTGGGTGTGGCTCTGGTGTTATGCAAAGGAGGTGGGGGGGAGGGGACGCTAGGCCAGAGGGGTCAGAGAAATGGGGGAGATGAGCATGGGTGGTCGCTCCTGCCGTGGCACGAACAAAACAACACCAGGGGGAACAACAGCGGGCTGCACTCCAGCCGTTGCTGTTTCCTGGTGCAACCAGGAGGGCGGGGTAGGTGGGTGGCACCCCGAGGCGGCACGGGACTGCATGGGGGCTACTACGGTGGGCGTGCCATGGGGGGGCGGGGAGCATGACCCAACCCTGTCCGAACCCGATCAGGAGGTTGTGGCGGGGAAAGGGTCAGCGGGTGGGTTGGGGGCGGGAGGGGGGTAGGGGGGTGTGGGTGGCGGGGTAGGTGAAGGCTGCTGCGGCAGGGGCCCGGAAACGAGGGCATGACAGTCCAACCGTGCATTGGGTGGGGCTTGCGAAGGCGGTGGGTTGGCACTTGGCAGTACGGCGGCGGTGCGGAATCTAGGGTGCGACAGCGGCGTGAGGGGTTTTGGGTAGCGTGATCTGGGTTGGGGGTGGGGCGAGGAGAAGTCCCTCTGGGTGGAGTTAGGCGCTTGGATTCCCTGGGGGCCCGTAGGCTATCCTACTGCAGCATGGGTCGGTACGGTGATAAGGGCTGCATCTGGGAGCGTCCAGGTGTTGGGTTCTGTGCATGAAGTGTCACGACTATGAATATCAAAGTTCATAAGTACCGTGCTATCAAATATGGGACAGTTGCCTGACTTGGGACCACCCCATCCACATGGGCATGGGACTAACGGCGCTGTTGTATAACGAGGCACGCAGAGCTACGTTTTTACATATGCTTACCAGGGTATTTATTGACTAAGTCAGCTGAGAAGCGCCATGCCGCACGTCCTGGAAACAAGTCCGGTGCCGCCTCCACAACAACGACGCTCACCCCAGCCTCCAACAACGCACGAGCGCATACCAAGCCTGTCACGCCAGCGCCCACGATGACGCTGCTTTTGGCTGGCCTTGTAGAAGGCCGATTCGTTGCGTCCATAAGACGCCACTTGTTCCCAACCGAGCAGCATTTCAAGGTAAAAGTCCGTGTCTATATATGTATTGCCCTCCAATACTTACGAAAGCGTTGCAGTAACAATGGGTCCGTTTAGGCTTTCGGTGACGCATTTGTAAAAGTCAATGTTTACTTCGAATATCAGCTTAAGGAAACTTGTGAGCATAGGTTTCCTTGATGTTATGCAAAGACAGGTTGAGCTAGCCAACTGGTTGCTGGGGTTGTCGTACTCTCGCTTACACGCGAGTGATATGGCAAGTTGCTGCGCGATAAGATGTCCTTCGCATTGTTCTCCAATGCACCTATTAAGCCAGACATCATTTCCGTTGTCCTTGGGGCCTGCTGGTTCAGAGCTATAGAAATGCCACACCAACTTAAGGGTTGCAAAGCTCGTGGCCGCTTCCATGTTCTTGGTGCAAACGCCGAGGCTGCTGGATCCATGTGGTAGCTTACTATACATCAGCCTACGGGGAGGTTCACCATATTTTGGCCAAGCCTGGCTGGCTCATTTTGTCCGCGGCTGCAATACCCTGTTGTGTTGAATATTACAATACAACGAACAACAATGTGGCTGCCGCAACATCTTACTATTAATGGCAATACTGCAGAGTCCCTCCGCAACACCCCGGAGACTACCCGGATCAGCCGGCTTCCATCCGCATCCGCATAGCGCCAAAATAGTATGCCCTGAAAAGCAGGACGTGTGGCTTAGCCTTTAGGTTTTGTGCTGATAGACGCCCTGCGTGGCGCTTCCGGCGGTGCTCTCAACCACGGCGGGGTGTGCCTCCCGGCGTCGTTGTTAGTACCTTTTGCCGATCCCCTGGTTCCTAAGTTGGTACTGCAAGACGCAAGTGGCCACTTTAGCCATAAAAACAACTAGGCGGCGGTATTGCCTCCCACCGGTTCCCTTGCTCCGAAACCCACGCCCCGAAACCCACTTATCTTTTTTTGCACAGAATAACAAGACTTGCGGTGGGATACTTTGCAACAGTCTATAGAGCAAGTAAAGTACTGTAATGCTTACTATAGCGCTTGATGCAACTAGCTGTCCGTAAAGTTCCAAATCTCCGGAGTTCCCTTGCCATCCTTTGTGTAGTGAGACTATAGTTATACGTTCACTTTGCATGATTCATCCCTTCTAGCTACGGACACGACGAAATCCTTACAGCCTTGAGCCAGTCAGTGACTTCTTTGCTCGTCTATCCCTTGCCTGATACCGGTAATACAATAATAAGTTGACGGTCATCAAATCATGCTGGGCTTCCCTAATCTGTTGATGACAGCCATGATCAGCTTCAACTCATCATCGCACATGCCATGACGCAGCAGGAAACGATCGGCCTACGTGAACCTGACGCCTTAGCTCCTAGCTTCCGATGGCGACTTCCATTGCACGGGGCTTTATTGCGAAGTATATCCTAGTAATCTACTTACTGGCGTTTACCACCGCCAGCGGCTCTGATATTGGTAACATCGGAGCCACCAGGACAACCAAGGCGACCCAGGATGGCAACGACAACAACGACATTCGTATCACCACGCCGCCAGCTGACCTGAGATCCTGCCCGAACCTCCGCATTGCCGTTGTCAACGGCGTCCCCTACCACCACGACGTTCTCGCCGGTCTGCTGCACGTCCTGCGTCCCTACGCAGCCCATACGGACGTCTACATTAACCGCTACACACGTGCTTCTACATCTGATGGCGCCTGGGACCTCCTGAAATGGTCCAAGTCAAATTTCCTCCTCCTAACACGAGGCCTGCTGGCCTCCTTATCACGTAAGCCCACCTTTTACGACTTGGTCATCCTAGTCAGCCCGGAGTACGAGCTGGATGCCAACGCGGAACTCCTTCGCCACGTACGAAGACGGTTGACAATTGCGTTCGTACATAACAGCGACTGGGACGAGCAGCGGCTTATTAATGTCGTCAAGAACGGCAGCACCGACGGCGTTAGGCTTGTGACGCTGTCGCCCCACACGGCTGGCTCCTTGGCAGCAACCCTGGCCGAGAGCCGGCAGCAGCAGCAACCGTCGTACCCGGTAGATTGGCAGCTGGCAGTGCTGCCGTTCAAGCCGCGGAGCAACTGCCTGGAAGCCAGCGAGGTGGATTTGCTGGGCCGCTGTCTCCGGGGTTTCTCCATGCAGGTATCAGTATATGATGAGATGTGCCGTCACCCTGCGCTTTTGCCCGTGTTGTTGCATGACTCGTAGCGTATCATGTGGGCTTGTCACACCGGTTGCCGCAGAAACGGCGCATACATACCTTGCTGCGTACTACACGGTATGCTGTTCACGGGCTGCAGCTATTACGACCTGTGTCGCATGTGTGACGTCACGCCCGGCACAGCCCCCCCCCCCCATGTGCAACGTCGCGCACGACACAACGGCACTACTCTTCCGTGTTGTCCACACCCCGCCCTCCTTTCCTAAACCCCGGCAACCCCTCAGGGCAAGTTTTCCAACCTGCGTCGCAACTACAGCGCCATCTGGGATCAGCTGCTGGCCCACCGCCGCGAGCTGACCTCGGGCAACGCAGTACACTTGTTCCACCTGAATCTGCTGGGCAAGGGCCAGGACGGCCGGCTCAACATGCCATCGGAGCTAGAGAAGCACGTCAGTCTGCTACGTCGGCTACGTTACACGAGCTTTTACGAAGCTATTCACCATACCTTTGCGCTGATCCCGGCGCTTGCGAGTGAAAAGTACTACACGGTCAAGTTTTCGTCAACGATTTTGACGTCGTTGGTTTCTGGGACGCCGCTGATTGCGGATAAGCGGTTTCTGAGCTCGTACGGCATGTTTAGTGAGGATGCTGTATACTTGCAGCATGAAGGGGAACAAGAGGTGGATGTTATGCTTCGGGTGATGCTGAAGACGTCCGTACCGGAGTTGTTGGGTGTACGGAAGGCGTTGTTGGGTGTACGGCAACGGCTTAACGAGCGCGCGGCTGCGTTTTACGCGGAAATCCTCTCAGGGCTGTGCAAGCAGAGTAGCAGCAGCGGTGGTGTAGCGTGACACTCTGACATGATGGCAGCAATGGCTGCAACAGTGATGGCAGAAGGAGGCTAGCTGGTTACGACTTCGTTGGTAACCGTGCGAGGGCGTGGAAAAGAGGTCACGGACGCACTTGTCCTTGGGTAGCCGGTATCCACCTACCTGCTTGGTGGAGCCGGACGATGTTTCGGAACAACTTGAACGTTTTGAGGGTGCACCCTCGTCGCGATGGCTCTCCTCTCGCCTTTCCGGTATATGTCACACGTTCGCACCTCTATATTGACAGTGGAGAGCGCCACAAGTGCCGGTACGGTATGTTGCTTGGTGCGGAGTGAGCTGCCCTCACCATTCGGGTTAACCGCCTGGCAAGCTGCCGTCCGTTGTATGGGTCAGAAGCTTGCTCGAGGGGGCTACCAGGCTTCACAATCACATGTTGCGCACCAGCAGTTGCCCCAGCCCTACACCAGTAACAACCAATTTTTCAGCACGGCCCAACGCTTGTTCAATGCGATGGCCACCCTTCGCGCGCCCGTACATACGCCATGCCAACATCGCCATACTGGCGCCGGCAACCACGTGATGTCACGTCAACCAGCATGCCATCCCCCTGCACCTACATGACCATCGCATGGAGCTAGCCCCACACCAAACATTGTACCCTATGCCACACGTGCCCCTCATCCACCCCCCGTCCTGGGATCTATCAGCCATCTCCTCATTGTCACCGTCACTCTAAGTACATCTGCAAGCCAAGCCTCTATGTTGTGTCACGTCATAGCGTCACACCCACACCGTATGGCAATCCCTTCATACGTTGGTAGGTATCTTGAGCTTAAAACTGAGCGCCTTCGGCCTTCCATCCCCGCCGCCAACCACACCCGCCTCACTCCAGCCGCCGCCCCCAGCTCCCGCCTCCTCCCACGTCGCTGCCGCCTCGCCCATCCGTACATCCGCAGCCGCCGCCCCTGACCCATGGGTCGCCCCCTGGCCACTCGAGTGACCATTAGCGCCCGGGGGTTCCCCCGGTGGCGGCGGCGGCGGGGGGCCTGCTGCTCCCGCTGCAGCGGGGTGCGGTTGCTGCTGCTGCTGGTGTTGCGGATGCTGCTGCTGTGCGACTGCTTCCGCGGGCTTGCTGGCGAACGCGGCCTCCTCGCCCTCCACCAGCACCGTGGCTTGCTGCACTACCTGAGCAGGCGGAAGGGGGGTAAGGAGTTCCAAACCGGGTCGGAACACGAGACCGGATGGGCGAGATGTGTGCCCGTGCAAGAGACGTAAAACAGGGAGGCGGGTTATAATACCTACCTACTGACCTCACTAACCCCTAACGCCATGGTACATTACCCTACCGTATCTCATCCCACCTCCCTCCCTCCTCAGCCTCACCACCGCCAAGTCCTCCTGCGCCCGCCCCAGCTCCGCCTGCGCCGCCTCCACTCCCGCCCTCGCGCCGTCCACTCGCTTCAACGCCGCCACCAGCCGCACCAGCATGGTGCCCCGGTTCTTGGAGCGCTCGGCAACCGCACGAACCTGAGGGAGGGAGGGGAAGGAGGGAGGAAGCATGGGTGGCGTAACGGGGGAGGAGGAGGGAGAGCATTAGTAGGAATGGGGAGTAAGAAAGGGGAGGGCATACAGATGTCCTCACTGCGAGACGTCCAGGGGCCGCATCTAACTCCGCGGTGATGTACGGTAGTCTTATAAGGACCGCCCCCTGTCCCCTTGCTCACTCCAGCCCCAGCCCTAGCACCCGCGTCACTCGCCTTGTCGCTCACAAACTCCAGCTTCTTCCTGTCTGCCTCATGCGCCGCCCGCACAGCCGCCAGCTGCCCCTCCACCTCAGCTAGCCGCTGCTGCAGCTCCACCTCCCTGTCCGCAGCCAACCCACCCCCACCCCCGCCACCACGAGCACCTCCACCACCGCCTCCTCCTAATCCTCCTCTAGAGCCGCCCCCGCTGCCTCCTGCTGCTCCTCCGGCTCCGGCTCCTAGGGGAGCGGTATCCGCGGGGCCGCCGCGGTGGCGTCCACCTCCGCCCCTGCCACCCCCTCGTCGGCGCCCGCGTCGATCCTCTGCTGGCATGGGTGGAGTGCATAAAGAAAGGGAGGGAGGGCGGGGTGTGGGGTGCGTGCATGCGTACGAGTGAGTAGAGGTGGTGCGGAAGGACGGCGAAAGGGCGGGGGTGCGGGTTCATGTGGCAGTGTGAAGGTTAGGACTGGGAGGCCTCACAGCGTTCCCCACCTGAGTCCCCAGAAGATGATGATGACGCGCTGTCATCGCTGCGGCTGTCACGACTGGGGCTGGGTCCGGCCCCAGGTCCGGTGTAGCGCTGGGGAGGCGGGGGCCCGCCACGGTAGCCAGCACCTGGCCCGGGGCCGCCGCCGCGACCGCGTCCACCGCCCATGTACCTGAAGGTGGGCAACAGGGAGATCGGGGCATGTGGAACTGTAACACGGAGGGAGGGACCTTGGAAAGTAGGGTGCGAGATTGGCGCCATGGGGATGGACGCTCATTAGGATGGCTTACCTTCCACCACCGCCGCGAGGCGACCTAGAGCGGCTCCGTGATCGGGATGGACTACGGTCATAATCCCTTCCGGGGCCCTGAGGACTTCCGCCCCATCTGCGCGCCAGCAGAAGTCAAATGCAGGTGGGTCAAAGAATGAGTATCGGGAACGCTGGGTTTCGGGCTGTGATTATGTTTAGGCTATAAGACTGAGGCTCATAGGACAAGCCATACTCATCCCAAGTGCTTGAGATACCTTTCTGGAGAGCGTGGTCGACCTCTTTGCATGAGCCGCAAGTTGTCTTAAGCTGCCAACAACTGCACCCTGACTTCTTTTGTCTGAATTAAGGATTACGTAGAGCCGTTTTGAACTCCATCCTACTCCAAGGGCCAAAAGGGAATGGGAACCAGTACGGATCTGGGGAGCCCAAAGCGACAGCCGTCTGACAGAACACACCGCGAAGAACCTCTCTATCCATAAAAGCACATATGCGTCTACATTTATTTGTGCATCAGGCGCCGTGCTGCGCGATTTAAGTTGCTGCCACGACCAGGGGCTCATATTCCCCCTTGGTGCAATCTATGCTCCCTTCCCTATACGCCTGAGTGAAATCGGTCATGCTATAGCCAAACCATGCCCGTTTGTTGATCCCTTAATACCCATAGGGCTGGAATATTGCGTTGCGGGTGAAGGCGGTCCTGCTGCCAGCGGCGATGCGACCGCAGGACCGACAACTGGTATATTCCGGGGTGCGGTTCGATGCGGTAGACGGGCGGGGACATAGGCGGGGGGGGGGCAATCGCTGCTGACGTCAAGGGCAGGCACACGGCGAACGCCTTTTCAGCCCGGACGTTAGGGGCGGCACTCCTGTCCTGGCGTCTGTCGCTCCATCCATCCGTTGCCTTCCGTCTGCAAGCATGCATGCATGCACACAACATCACATGCAGTGGAATGGCAACTCCCACGCGTGCATTGTGACGTTAAACAGCCCAATGCACGCCCTAGCATGTTTGCTAACATAGTCATCTTACACGTTGCCGGGTAGTATCCCAAATCCTACATGCCGGGAAGTCCACGGCTCCTCCCCAGCCATCCTCTTGCTTATCACGCTCCTCTTGTACCCAACCAGCTAACAAGCAGCCTAGAGCATGAGGTCCTCAGCAAACGTACGTCTAAGGCGGGTCATGCGCTCGCACAGTGTTACCGGTAATAACTTCACCAACTGCCGTGCTTAACGACCAGTGGCGGGCCAACACAAGAGGTGCGCGGGCCGCACATACAGCCCCCAAACAAACCTGCCTATTAGCTCCGGTGGCAATGCCGCCGGTGGTGGTTGCAGCTAACGTGGTCACATGGCGACTAACACCACGGCATTCAGATGCAGACGGCATACACCGTGCATGATCAAGGGTAAAGAGAGAGACACGCACGGGTCTCACTCGACAGGGACGCACACGCAATGTGATAAATTGACGCCATGACATGCTCTCTATACTTCTAGGCGTCAATGTCAGTCAAATACCAGGTCAGTGTTAGTGCATGTGGGTCCTGCATGCACGCATGCGCCTGCGTGCAATGTATCAGCATCATGTCACAACAATTCCCCGCCCGCATCCACCCTATTCCTTCCACCCTTCGGCGTCCGCTCCCGACCCCAACCCCCCCCCGGACTCCCCCACATGTACGCCTTCGTCGTACTTTAATTGTCGTACTTTAAGGCCTCACAAGTCGAGCGTGAAGCTATACCGCAAACCGCATTTCGCAAAGGGGGGGTGGTGTTTCCAGGCAAGGTGATGCTGGCGAGCAGGGGCTAGGCGGTGGCAGCAGCGCTGTGCTGCACGTGTTCAGACATGCGACCTACCGGTACCCCGTCCTCCATAAGCCTGCCACAGCACAAGCACACGTCCCACCATGCGCCTGACTCTTCCATGCACCCATCCCTCCATGCACCCAACATCCGATCAGCCTCACTCAAACGGCATATTCAAACACAATGCTCTTTCGATCAGCTGTCACAGAGTCAGCCCTTACCGCCAACCACGCCCCATCCCGCATCCCCCCCGCCACCCCTCCTCCCTTTCCTTCTCCCCATGCGTTGCGGCCTTGGTAACCCTCCCCCTCCCTCCTTCTCCTCCCGCTCCCGCTCCTTCTCCCCCTCCCCCTCTCAGTTCAGCGTGAGGCTGAACAGCTGCTCCCGCTTCCTCCGGAACGCCCCCGGGTCCTTCAGCGGTGTTGCCTTGCCCGCCAGCACCTGGCCGTCCAGGAAGTTCTCCAGATGCGCCAACTCCAGCTTGTGCAGCTGCTCCAGCTCCTGGGGGGGAGGGGGTCAAAGACCATACCAAACCATAGGAGACCACAAATTAGGGCAAAGAAATGGGGAGGGGGAGCTCGTGGGACTTGCTTCCAGGGGTTGCAGGGTGACGCCTCCGTGGAGTCATGTCGTGTTTCATCAGCAGTCGGGTGCACCCAGTACGCTACATCCCACCCGCCCCCGCCACCCGCCCCTCCCCCGCACTCACCGACACGATGTTCCTGAACCGCAGTGTTCGCCGCTCCGTCTCCGCCACCCGCTTGAGCTCCAACTCGTCCCGGCCCTGCGGGGGGGAGAGCAGCAACGGTTGGCAGCGGCAGCAGTGGTGGCAATAGCAGGCCAGGGGGCCGGGATGGTGGGGCAGCAAGCAGGACAGGGGGGGACTAAAGCGGCGGCAGTATCGGGCAACGGAGCATTGAAACCTTAGCTCCTACTCTTTACCCGCCACCTCCACCTCCATCTGCCCTTTTGTCCCTTTCCCTTGTAACGCAACGCATACGCAGCGAGGATAGAAGACGGAGAACGGAGGTGCGCATGCTCGTTGGTCGTAACACCACCTCCCCTCAGTTTCTTTCCCCCTACCTTTGCTCCCCGCTGCTGAAGCACCTCGTACTCTGTTTGCTGCTTGGCCTGCAGCTTGGCGATCTTGAGCTTCGACTCCGCCTCCCAGGCGGCTAGCGTGGTCTCCATCTCAGCCTGGATGGGAGGGGAGTGGGAGATGGGAGGAGGAGGTGCAGGGTTAAGGTGAAGGGGGATGGAGGAAGAGGGGTGGGAGGAAGACTGGAGGCCGGGAGAAAGGCACGTGGCCGCAGCGAGAGGGGAGCCGCATTACACACGAGCAGGGCTGCTGCTCCCGCGCCAGCCCTCGCCCTCAAACCCGCCCCTCAGCAAACCCCTTCCCAATGCCTATTCTTACCACCCCGCCCTTCCACCCTCACAATCCCTCCTCGCATCTACCTCACTCTCCCTCGCACCTGTCGCCCTCACAGCTGTGTCTGCCGCACTCACTCGTTATCTCCCCTTCCCTCCCCTCCCCTCTCCCCCCCTATCCAGCCTCGCCCCCCACCTGGTACAGCTCATCTGCCATGTTTTTTACTTTGGTGGCCCGCCCGTACAGCTGCGCCTTGGCCAGCTTGTCCTGCACCTCCCGCTGCGCCAGGTACTCGCGCGAGGGGCGCGCGCGGGTGGGGCGCTTGCGCTGCAGCTCCTCCACGTAGGCGGCCAGCTGGGAGGTGTGGCTGCACTTGAGCTCCTCCACCGCCTGGGGGGGCGGGGGGGAGGGGGAGGGGAGGTGCATGCAAGGGAGGGGGAGGGGGAGAAGGTTAGGAAGGTGGTAAAGGGACTCGAGGTCTCCAAGTACCTGCATGGAAGATGGGGATGGGGCGGAATGGGTAAGGTGGGCAGCAAGAAGCGGGCGGAGGGGATGAGAGGACTTAGTGAGCGGTCTTGGTATCTCTGCACATTGCCTGCGCGGGTGAAGGTTAGTAAGGTACTGGTCCTGTTGGCTGCTGCATCTGTAGGGGCTTTCTTTCTTCCGTCCTCCTCCTCCTCCTGCAGTCCCACACCTTTGCCATGTTTGCCAGGTAGTCCTTGATCCTGTTGTCCCATATGTGGTGGAACTTGGCGGTCTCCTCCTCGAACACCGCCTGCACCTCCTCCAGCTCGCGGACCTGGTTGCTGGCCAGCTCCTGGCGCAGGCGGTCAACCTGGGGGGGGGAGGGGGGAGGGCGGGGGGGGGGGCAGGGGACGAGGGGAGCAGGGAGGGGCAGGGGCGGGGCGGGGGGCGAGGGGGGCAGGGCATGGAGATGGAGGGGAGAACGGGGAGAGGGTTGGGCAGGAGGGCGGGCGGGTGTTGCGGTGAAGGTCAATAGGATGGGGGCAGCGGGGGCGTCCCTCCCAACGGTCCCATGACCAGCCGGGTGCCCGCCTTCATCCCTCCCTCACCCTTCATTTCCAGCTCTCCACCAGCCCCCCGCCATCCTCCAGCCCCCCTCCTCTAGTCCCCACCTGTGCCGTGCGCAGGTCCGCCAGCCTCTTGGCCGCCACCTTGGCCTCCTGGTAGCGCCCCTCCGCCTCGCAGCGCCGGCGGTGCTCCTCCAGCTTGGACATGTACTGCAGCACCGCCTCGTCCACATGCAGCGAGCCGGTCTGGGGGGGTGTGCAGGGCGCATGGTGGTGCGAGGTGGTCGGAGGAGTACCGGTAGCTCCCACCGTAGGCAGAATGAGCTCACCTCCAAGCCCTCCATGTAGCCCCCCCCCTCCGCCTGCGGCCCCCCACCCCCCCCCACCCCACCTCCAGGTATGAGCGGTTCTTGGTGAGGATGCGTCTGAAGGGCCGCGCCTGCCCGCCCCCGCTGGTGGTGTCGGACAGCCCCGCCAGCGAGGTGGAGGAGGGCGCGGAGGAGAACTCGTTGCGCAGGGCGGCAAGAGACTGGGCGGCGTCCGCGGAGAGCATGCCCACAACCGCCAGACTGCGGGGGGAGGGGACGGGAGGGAGGGAGGGGAAAAGAGGGAGGATGGGTGGGAGAGCTGGAAGGGGGCAGAAATAGTATGGGCTTGAAGGAGGAGGCTGTGCAGGGAGTGGGAAGCAGGTGAAGAGGCTAAGGACAACGGAAGAGGGAGCGGGGGGCCCAGGTGGCACCTGCTCTGCAGAGATCCAGGCGACGCTTCTTTCATGAAGGTTCCCATGACGCTTTCCAGTAACAATGCCGCCATCAAGCCCGCAATCTACGCACCAAACCATCCGTTGCCAGCTTGCCACCTGGTATCCCTTATCCCCTTACGACGCCACCCTACAACCCCGAAGCTGGCCCAGGTATCTTCTTTGCCTGCCTCCAATGGCTGAAGTGGTCCTGTGTCCCCGCCCCCAAGCCTGCCCACATCTTCACCGCCATCCTCCCCCCCTGCGAAACAGCTCCACAGCAGCGCATGCAGCCGCTGCGTGCCGCCCCCGCTTGCAGTCGCTCGCCGCCAGTCCCCCCCCGGCACCCCTCCACGATGCCCCCTCCCCACCCTGCTCCCCACACCTGTAGTGCTTTGCACCTGCGCCACACAACACGACCCCCGACGCATGCGCGTCACCCGCCCCACTGGGCCCTCCCTGGGCCCTGCCAGTTCTTGCATGGTTGAGCTCTCGCACCGGCCTCCCCCACCAGGGGTTTTCTATTCGCCCCCAGGTGGGGCAGGTGGTATGGGTGAGGGGCAGGCTGCTGCCCCTGCGCTTCCCAAGCGCCGCCGCAGCCCCGTCGCATAACACCAACACCCGTCCTGCATCCCGCACGCCATGCTACGAGGGCCGCACACACCGCATTCCCGCCCGGGCATGGGGCATCGGGTGCTGCTCAGGTATCCTGCCTCAGCCCCTTCTGTCATCACTAAGCCCCAGGCAGGCCATCCGGGCAGGATACCCCGGCCGGGTGCCGTACCCCGCCCGTACAGCAACAACCAGCAACCAGGACGACCTCAACGCCACTACGGTGCGTTGGGTCGAGAGGGGTATTGGATGAAGCGAGCGAGGGCGCTGCTGAGGGGCGCGACAGAGTTGTGCCCCATGTAGGGGAACCTCGCGGGAGGTACTGTAGCCCTACTGCTGCCCTACTGCTGCCATGCCGGGGGCTGGCAACTCCCTCTTCCCCTCCCATGGGAGGCTGTGAGGCGGGAGGGGTGGCCGCAAGCTGGTGTGGGGGCACCCAGTCCCTGCTGCGACCATCACACTGCCGTCGCAGCAGCAGAGCAGCAGCAGCCCCACCGGGGGCAGCAGCAGCAGCAGCCAGCTTGGCAGCACCGCCCGCCCGTCATGTCCGATTGCCACCACCACCACCACCATCACCAGCCGTCCAGCACCACCAGCAGCAGCCCCATGGCAGCCCGCGCCAGCCGCGGCGCTTGCACAGCTGCAGTCCGGATGCTGTGTATCTCAGGGCGCTGCTAAGCGCCTCCTGCTGCTGCTACTGCCGCGACCGTGGAATTGCTACTGCCGGCGTTCAAGCTACTGCTGCTGGTGCTAGGGGCGGAGTCCGGAAGAAGGCAGAGGGCTTCCCGCAGCTGCAGCGCAGGCACGCTGCAAGACATGGTTTGACGTGGTGTGGTTCCCGGCAGCATGCCAGGGATAGCATGCTGCTGCGGCTCCCGATCCCCTGCCCGGGGGTCGACCGCCACCGGACCCTAATCGTGCCCAGCCTTCCGTCGCCAACAGAGAAGGGCAGCACCCCGGCGAGGTCACCATTAAGCAGTCACCTTTCCAAATGTTGCTGCACCGAGCTGTCCCCTTGTGGGATGCACCTCGAGCCACCCTTGCATGCGACGCACCTCACCGCCCGTGGGACACACCGCATGAAGAGGGGTGAAGAGAAGTGACCCACATGCCCACACCCGGCTGGTGTGGCCCCCATCCCCATGACGCATACTGGGTCTACCTGACTACCAGCACAACTCACCAGCACCAACCCATAATGCCATAAAGCTGTGAGGAGAAACGTTATTGACAGGGGGGAGGCTCACACGACCCCACGGAACCCACGAACCCAATTCGTCCACCCCTCACATCCGGGTCATGCCAGACCTGGATGGTGGGGGAACCGGCCCTTTCGGGTGCTTCTTCTGGGTACTTTGCAACCGTCCCCATGCTGGTTAACACATCGGAAGCACTGTGTTGCCAGCCTCAAAACTCTTAACCCCTTCTGCAGGCCCCAAGCACTCCCAGCAACTTGCCCCTACCAGCTACCCCACCCTTACACGCCAACTCACGTCTGCTCTTTCGTCATGCTGTCCGCGTTAGGGCCAGCCACTGTTGCAACAAAGCGCTTGCAGTTGTCTGGTGTAGTCGTAATGTCGACAGCTGCTAAGAGATTTCCTAAAGCTGACACCGCCATAGTTCCGTCCTCCTTCGCAAATTCTGCATATAAGTCGCCAGCTCGCTCGCTGGCCCTGGGTCGGACGCCTGAGGTGCTGGGCTCGGGCATTTCCTCCACCGCATCAGGCTGCGAGGCGCCGGAGACTGGTGGGAGGGCCGAGCCATCCATTACCTAAGGATCTAAGCTTATGTAGGCCCTTTGTATCGCAAGCGGGTCCAGGGCGGGGCCCGCGATGACCCGCGGCGCCCTCAAGAGCAAAGATGTAGTAATTGTTTTTAATAGGAAGTTACAAACTGCAAGATGTAATGTTCTAGCGTCAAGCTATATGCATATTGCCGTGTGAAGCTAAAACACCAAATCGGACGTTGACGAAGGAAGCAATATAACAGCGATAATGTGGGCGCAGCGTTATGAGAGGCATGAACGATAGAACAGACTGACCCGCTTCTCCAATCCATGCAACGAACGGGACTCCTCTAAGCGCTGTACTCGTGTACGACAGATGGGAGCTTGCACGCATCCTTTGGCAGGTGAAGCTGCCGATAGGGGGTGTCTGTGATCCCCTCACTTGTAGTGCATTGTATTCCGCCTTATGTTACTGGGACAACACTATAGGACACCTCACACCTTCCAAAACGGTACAAAAGCAACTTCTGGAACGTTAACAAAAAGTATATTGTGAATCACTCCTTGATCGTTTTGACAGTGTTTCTTTTGCATAAAAAAGCGCCCTGGCAGTTTCGCTCGTTGATTAAAACGTTGGCTTTAGTATGGGTGTTCGGTTTCGGGCTTCATCGGCGGCTGTGATATGCTTGCTGGTTGTCCTGCAGGTAACCTATTGCAAATTCTTGAATGCCGGCAAGCCAACTGCCTTCCAACCTGGCTTTCGCCATTTGATCTGCAGCGGACGGGCACAGCATCAGCCGGGGGAGTGCCGTCCAACCTTACAGGCATTTCAAACGCTGACCTTGGCGCAGCCGCTGTGTCAGACAATTTCGTGACCAACAGTCAACTAGTAGTAGGCGAGGAACAGAAGGCAAGTACGAACCCCGAGGGTCACCGTAACGCCCCTCCTTCAGCACATGGGGCACGCCCTCGATCGCTCTATCTGTTACCTGCACCAGCTCCCAGCAGCTCGCCATTCCCTAGACGTCCACACCTGTAACAGCCCTGCCTAGCACTGAACGGGCGGTTTCCAGCTGGTAGCTGCAGCATCCATTTCAAGATGCCCCATCCTGCCATGCTAACCTCCTGCTGCTGCGGCCAGTGGAAGCCACCACGTGGCACACCTGGCCCTTGGCTGGCTTAAACACTGGCCCTCTGGCTCGTACGGACATCCCTCCGGATCCAGATTGGGATTGCAATCCCATCCCTACCTCCTCCACACAGCAACCCCACCGCCAGCTCCCGACGCGCTGAAAAAGTTGCCCACACTGTCCCCCCCATCACCCACCCTCCCCTCCTCCCCACCCCACCTCAGCCGCCGCCTTACCCTGCCTCCTGTTGCTGCTGCTGCTGCTGCCGCTGCGGTTGCTGTCGCTGCTGCTGCTGCCTCCCCCGCTGCCTCCTCAGGATGCCGTCACGATAGGCGCTGATGAGCTGGTGGGTGGGGAGACGTGTCGGCTGAGCGGCCATGTGGACGAGTGCTGTGAGTAGCGGGGTGGGGCGGGGAGGGAGGGGAGGTGAGGAGGCGGGGCGGGGAGGGAGGGCAGGGCGGGGCGGGGCGGGGAGGAGGCAGGGAGGATGGAGCTGAGAGGGGGACTGGGTGGGGCTGAGGTGGGGCGGCTTGGAGGAGCGGGGCAGGGGCAAAGACAAGAGAGGCGAGGTCGCGGCAAGCCACGACAGCCCCCCCACCCCTCCGCCCCCCTCCCCTCTCCCCCAGGCAACTGCACCTACCAGGATGTAGACAGGCTGAACGCGCGGCTGCACCCGCTGCTGCGGCGGCTGGTGCGGACTGCATTCTTCCGGTACTTCAAGGTATGTTAGGAAAACTGGCCACGAGACGGAACATGCTGTGATTTCCGGAGGATGAAGTCCTCACGGTGTGTATTTGGAGAGCCGGGAGGAAGAGGCAAAGCAGGGATAAGCAGAGCAAAGGGATGGTGCATGGTGGGTATCATAGCAAGCAGTAAGGTGAAACACGCAACATGGCACAGCGCAGGCTGTTGTAGAACAACATGGGTTGGTTGGGTGGGGCTGGGTCGGGGCGTGTGAGTCACGTGTCCTCTCCACACCTCAACCCTGTTGCCCTGCTTGCCTTTCCCCGCCTCCATCTTTAACCTCCCTCCCGCCCTCCCTCCCTTCTCCCTCCCTTCTCCCGCCCGCCAACCTCCTCCCCCCAGGTGAACATCTACTGCGACTGCCCGCTGTGGCCGGACGACTCCATGTGCTCCCTGCGCGCCTGCTCGGTGTGCGAGTGCGAGCAGGAGGAGGTGCCGCAGCCGTGGCGGCAGCAGGAGGAGGAGGGATTCTGCGACACGAACACATGTGGGGAGGGGGAGCGGGGGGGGGCAGAGGAGGGCAGGAGGAGTGGCCTTGTTCCTGCATGCCCCCGTGCTGCTGCACACCCACACGCCGTGTTGGCCCACCTCTTTTTCACAACTGCCGGGTTGCTTCCCCCTGTTCGCCACGTGTCATGCACCCCTCCTCGCGCTCCCCTCTCCCTGCCCCACCTCCCGCTTCCCCCTCCCCTCCCCTCCCCCAGGTGCTGCCGAGCTGGACGGGCGGGTGAACAGCAGCATGGACCGGGACACGGCGGCCCGCCTGCTCAACCTCAAGGTGTGTGTGGGGGGGTCAAATACCATACCGAACCCGTAGGAACCGTAGGGGTGGTGGGGGTAAAGAGGAAACAACCAACTGACTGAGGGTGGTGGGGGAGGGGAGGAGGGAGCGAGGGGAGAAAGGAGGAAGGGAAGGCGGGGTCAGCGTAGGGGAGCCATAAAGGACCCGCCTCTCACATGTCCCACCTCTTCACCTGCCCCACACCCCTCACGACCACACAGACGCCCTGTTGCGGCGCTGCCACACCCAGCATCCCTCCCACCCTGCCCTCCCCTGCCCTGCCCTCCCTTCCTGCCCTCCCTCCCCTCCCCGTCCCCCAGGGCTGGCGCGGTTTCAACAACCCCTGGATGTCGGAGCCCGAGGGCGCCAGCGAGGAGGAGTACCTGTACGTCAACCTGCTCATCAACCCGGAGAGATACACGGGTGGGGCGGCAGGGAGGGAGGGGAGCACCGGGAGCAGGATGTGGGGCGGGAGCGGGGAGGAAGGGGGGCCCCTGGATGGGGAGAGGGCACGGCACGCTTCGTGGCACACCATGCTAGTAAAGGCCTAGCAGGGGTACTAGCATGGCGGTAGGGGAAGGAACCGGAAGGCGCCGTTAGGGAGGGGTTCCCGGGGGGTCAGCAGCATCAGGGCATCGAGGCCATCATGGTGGGCCTCGCATCACTCCTCCCATCATGCCGGTCCGTCGGCACACCCCATACCGGTATCCCTCCACCCTCTCTTCCTCTCCTCCCCTCCTCCCTCCTCCCTCCCATCCTCCTCCCCAGGCTACGCGGGTGAGCACGCGCACCGCATCTGGAACGCCATCTACAGCCAGAGCTGCTTCCAGAACCCCGCTGCACCACCACCACCTGCACCAGCAGCACTAGCAGCAGCCACCGGCGCCGAGCTCGACTCTGAGGCGGCGGAGAACGGCACAGCGCTCGCACCCACCCCCTCCCCCTCCTCCTCGGATGGCAGCGCTGCTGCTGCCGAGGGCGCCGGCGAGTGGTGCCCCGAGAAGCGCGTGTTCTACCGGCTGATCAGCGGCATGCACGCCTCCATCTCCGCACACATCTCCGCCAACTACCTGCTGGATGAGGAGCGGGGCGTGTGGGGACACAACCTAACAGACTTTAGGTGGGGGGCAGGGGAGGGGCCGGGGAGTGCGGGTGCGGGTGCGGTACCGCTGCAAGCCGGCTTGTGTATGGAAGGGGCGTGTGGGTGCGGGTGCCACACGGTATGTATTTGTAGCCATGCCTCGGTGTGTTTGTATGGTGCATGGGTGCAGGCCTACTCGCAGATGCATGGCCGACGACGCTCGCAACGCCCCCACCGCCTTGCAAGGCATGTGCACCCGCATCCCCACGCACCTGGATGCCCATGCACCCGCATGCAAACACCGTCTGGGCTCCCCAAACCCCCCCTTACACGCCTCCACATTACCCCACATTACTCAACCAACTCCCGCACCCGCACCCGCACCCGCCCGCATCCCATCCCATCCCACCCGCACCTGTCCATGCCTGCAGGCACCGCCTGGGCACCCCCGCGCTGCGCTCCCGAGTGGAGAACCTGTACTTCGCCTACCTGTTCGTGCTGCGGGCGGTGATGAAGGCGGGGCCGCTGCTGGCGCGGTACGAGTACGACACGGGGCTGGCGGGGGAGGACGCGGAGACGGCGGAGCTGGTGAAGCAGCTGGTGAGGGGGGGAGGTGGGGGGTGGGAGGGAGGGAAAGAAGAATATCCAATGTGTGGTGTAATAGTGGTAAACTAGCTGACAGGGATGATGGGAGGGAGGAAGGAGAGGGGAAGGAGGGAGGGAGTACCGGTCAAACCAGGTCGAAGCGCGCTAACAGCCTAGCTGCACGCAAAGCTGCGGTCCTGCCACCAGGCGTTGCGACCGTCCCAGTCCCGCCTACCCCCGCCCGCTACCGGTACTCCTACCCCTGTCCCGAACGGCCTCCCTACTCCGCACATGCACACCAGCTCATCACGTGCTCCTGTTCCGCCCCTCCAACCTCCCGCAACACGACCTTGCCACTTGGCTTGTACCCCCTCTTCACCTCCAGTACTTGCGTGGGCGTGTGTGGGCCCCCCACACAAGTCCCTATTGCTTTGCCCTACCGTGACCTGTGGCTTCCTAAGGTCTGGCATGGTCTTTGACCTCCCTACCCCCCCGCCATGCCTGCCTGCCTGCATCTGCACACCCGCAGGTTGGCTCCCCCGACCTGGGCTCCGCCTGCCCCATGCCCTTCGACGAGGGGCGGCTGTGGAAGGGTGGCGAGGGCCTGGCCCTGCGCGAGGAGCTGCGGGGCGCCTTCGTGAACATCACCCGCATCATGGACTGCGTGGGCTGCGAGAAGTGCAAGCTGTGGGGCAAGCTGCAGACGCTAGGTGGGGTGGGGTGGTACGGGACATGATACAGAAGGAGGAGGAGGGTGATAGCTACCGGTGGTTCTTTGTGCTTTTACTGCTTTACGGCCTAGCAGGGTGCAGGAACTCCCCCGCTCCTCACTCCCCAAACACCCATGCCCCACCCGTGCCCCTCCAGCCCTCCCTTCCCCTTCCCCTTCCCCTCCCAATCCCTCTCCTTCCGCCCCATCCCGCGCCACTACCACTCAACGCGCATGGTTCCTCCTGTACCCACTCCCCACCCCCAGGTGTCTTGTAGCACCCTGCCGCCTCATTCCCCCATTTTTCTGCCCTAATTCATGGTTTCCTATGCTTCGCTCTATCCCCTCCCCCCCTCCCCGCCCCCAGGTGTCGCCACCGCCCTCAAGGTGCTCTTCAGCTCCTCCGACTGCTCCGGCGCGCTGCCCACCTCGCCCGCCCTCTCCACGCTGGTGCTGGAGCGCAACGAGGTGATCGCGCTGGTCAACCTGCTGGAGCGCTTCTCAGCAAGCATACAGTACTACAAGGAGCTCAGCGGGGAGCTGCAGGAGCAGCAGGGGGCGGAGCGGGCGCCGTTGGCGGTGGGGGCGGGGGAGCGGCTGGCGTGAGGAGGGGCGGGTGGGAGGTGTGGGGAGAGGGTGTGGGAGGTGAGGGGTTGAGGTGATGTTTGGGTTTGGGAAGTGAGACGGCAGGGGGAGAGGTGGGAGGAGCTGGGCGGCGTGCGAGGAGGGGTTGCATACTGGTGGAGGCAGCAGCCGGCTTTCCATGCGATGGTGAGTGGGGATCGCCTCATGCACCGCACTGTTGTGGCGGTTGTGGTTGTTAGGAGGGAGTGTGCCATACTGCCGTTGCTGGTGTGGAGGGCAACTGTCTCGGGGGCTGTATTGATTGAGAGTGGCTTGTTAACCGTGGGTTTACTGGGGGTGTAACGGCATGTGCGTGCGTGCGCGGGCATCTGGACATATGACCCATGGGTCAGAGCTACTTGCTAAGGAGGATACGGAGCTTGAGTGGCGGTGAGGAACGCGGCGCTTAGCGGCTAGGTAAGAGGCCAGGTGAGCCCTGCCTAGGTGGTTTTGAAGGAGGAAGAGAGGTATGTAAAGGGCGCGGACGCAGCGAATGTGAAACACTCACAGTACATGACACTACAAGACTACACAGAAGGAAGGTACAAGCAAATGGAAAACAGGCCAAACGCAAGGAAGTGCAGAGAAAGGGAGCCCGATCAGCGATGGCGTTTGAAAGCTTAAGACGGTAATCCTGCAATCCGGTAAACCTTCCGTAAATTCTGACATGGCCTGTTCGGACCCACATTACGGACGCTCCCTTCTCCCAGAGTGTAGCCAAAGCTAAACAGCCCCGTGCCTCCCTGTCAGGTGGTCCGTCTGTGTCCCTGTGTGATGAGGTGTGGGATGCAATCATTGTGAAGTTGCCACCCGTTGAGTGTCCCCCATGCAGCTGTGCCTCCACTGGCCCCACCTTTGTCAACGTATCCGAGCCGGCCGGTGAAGGTGCTGCGACCCCCGCCCCATGACCAACGCATTGCCCCCCAGCCACCCGCCGCCGCCCATCAATCAACCGTCGCCCATCAACCATCGCCTGCCAGCAACCAGCTGTCATCGCCCATTACCCTGAACTGCAGAGACGTGCTTGCTGGAAATCCTTTTCATGCATGACGGTTGACGTATGGGGTGTCCCCATTGTCAGTGCTTGCCCGTTCCAACCAACAACTACTGTATGTTCTGCTTCTGCTCAGGCCATTGAACTTGTTTGCAAGGAACTGGCCCTAGCGTGCTAGTCCGATTCACTATGGGGTAGCGCACAATTTAAGTGGAGACATGGCTTATATAAAAGAAGTTTGACATGGATTCCCGTGCGTTAGCAACTTCCTATACCGATAACGGGTTCTACAGATAATAGTTTTAAAGGTAGGCTTGTATACCAGAGGTGAGGTAAGGTTGCGGCGGCGGCCGCAGCGGCGGAGAAGCTTCGTTCGACGACGACGTAACGCTCGCATTTGAATTTTTTAGCGGCATTGCAGGCGGCGACTGGGAAGACTGGGGTAGGCGTCGGCAGTCAACTCTGCCTGTTTGGTATCCAAATACCTCGCTAATTAGCGGTTAAGGATGGGAAGCAAATGAGGGGCGGGGCACTGATCCTTCCTCAAGAAAGCCAAGAATGCAGCACACCCATTGGCAAGTCAGGCCCCGCCTGTCAACAGGCGACCGCAACACTACACGACATTACAGAAGATGCACTTTTAGTTGTTGCATTGGCATGCATGGGGACCACGTGCGCATGGGAGGGGACGCACCGCCGCCGTCACAGGCCGCGCTCGGACCAATGCACTGACGATCAGCGCTTTTGTACTTCCTTGACCCTTATTATCCACTTGTTGCGTTTTCTGTCCGACAGGGAATACCCGGCCGCATGCATGGCTGAGGGCGCCTGTGCCATCTGTCTGTCGTCCAAAGAAGGCAAAAAACATGGCTGGGAAGCTGTACTGCAATCACACATGGAGTGGAAGAATGTAGAAAGAATGGATCCCGGCAAACAACCCGCATTGCCAGTCATTGCTGTGTAACCAGATATAATATAAGACACTCAAGGTCACTTGCCCGCTTGATCGTATCCCAGCGCGTTTCCCACAGGCCGCCGCTTACAGTAGGAAAAGCGACTGACCCACGGGTCACCTGCAGCCCGTAAACGCAAGCGCCTTAACCAAAAACGGGGCAATCAGCTTTTCCACGTCGCCTAGACGCTCTGTGCGCTCTAGCCTTTCAGGCTTGGCGTGTGGGGCCGCGTCGCAAACAGCCCGGTTGAATAATCTGTGCAGCCGGTTCGTCACAAAACAGCGCATTGCCAGCAGCAACAGCTAGGCTTTCTTGCTGGCTTCCTTGTCAACAGGACGTGCATAGCGCCACGAGTTCGGCTCAACAGCTCTTACTTGTGTAGCAGCCGGCGAAACGGTGTAACGCCAACGCCAACTGCTCTTCGGCCGTTGACCGGGCCAACCATCGCTCATCACCGCTACATCCGCTCTCATTGTGAAGCAATGACCTCCTTGTGCTCTTCACGGTTGCCTGGTCCGCTTTCACGCCGCCAAAACCGAAGCATCCGCAAAGCCACTGTCGTCGCGGCTTGGTTTTTGGTCGCCGCCTTGGCAGCCGCCATGCGTTCAGTCGACGCTTGGGGCGGCGGCAGCAAGTCGCAATCAAGCGGCGGCTGGAGGACGGCTCGGGCCACTCGCTATGGTGGGTAGCTTCAAGAAAGCGCGAAAGCCGTTTTGTGCAGCCGACGTAACGCTCGCTCGCGCAAGCATAGTGATTGAGCTTGGTGGTGCACAACTTTTTCTCTTTCTGCGCCATGCCTGGCAAATTGCTTTAGTTGTATCGCCAGACATTATCATGACCGGCTATCCTAGGGACTTAGCCCGGACTACGGGCAAATGTGACTACTGGCGCAGGAAGGGCGGGGCCGCTCTCTCGCTGTTGAATGCCAGCAGGCCCAGGCACACCCCCACCACAAGCCCTGACACATCGCTCTGCTCCCCACTCACGGTTCTGCTGTGGCTTGCCATGCCTGGAGAGGTATTGGGCATGGGCGGCATTGGCTGGTGGTCAATTCTTGTACACGTAATCCTCTGCCTGATCTGATCAGCCTATGCTTTACGCATGCATGCATTGCTTAGTACCGGTATCCCCCCATAAGCATGCATTCATGCACGCATTCATGCACGCATTCCATCATGCAATCCCTGACCCAACCCGAACTCTCACGCTTACCGCTCGCTCTCCCTCCTCATGTGCCTTTCCCTTTCCCTTTCCCTTTCACCACCCCTCCCACCCCTCCTCCTCATACGTACGCGCACCGCTGTCCCCGCCGGTACCCGTCACCACCTCCAACCCGAAGACGGCCCGGACGACTGGTGGTCCATCCACGAGGGCTCCTGCGGCTACGGCTACCTGGACACGGACCGGGCGTCCGGCTGGGACGTGGCGGCACTGTCCGACACCTGCGAGGACTACAGCTCCTCCTGCGGGTGGGTGGGGTGCGGGGGTAAAAACTAAATAAGTGAAACAACGAGTCCCAATCCCATATGGTGGGTGGGTGCGGGTGGGTGCATGCATGGGTGGGAGCGGGTGCATGCATGGGTGGGTGGGTGGGCGGGCGGGTGCTCGGGTGGGGCGGGTGCGGGTGCATGCATGGGTGTGTGTGTGGGAGGAGGGTAAACGAATGATACCCAATGCCTTGCTTGGTTGACAATGGCAAACTAGGCGACAAGCCTGGGGGTGTGGGTGGGTGGATGGGAGGGTGGGTGCGTGCTTGCGGGTGGGGGTGCGGGGCTTGGTGCGGGGTGTAATGTTGTAAGGCAGCATGTACGGCAGATGGCAGATGTGCCGACGTACATGTGTGTTTCGTGTATGGTATGGTTTGTGCATGTCTACAAGATCGCAAACACCTCTGCTGGGGTTGCGATTATGCGCGAGTTTGCTCATACTGAGGCCGGTTGATGCCATGCATGCGTACATTCCCATGCGGCGTCATCGCACCACGCCCCGTCATTGCGTTCGTATCGTCATCTCCATCTTCGTCATGCGCTTCTGCATTACCACAGGCGGTGCTACGAGGTCAAGTGCGATCCCATGACGTTCTCGGACGGCTATGGGGAGCGGCTCAATCGCACGGGCGTGTGCCGGGACGAGGACGCCAGCGTGAAAGTCCAGGCGAGCATGGGATGAAGGGCTGGGAAAGAGGAACACTCCTGCAACCAGTATAATCGTGTAACCAAGCTGGTCCAAGCTCCAAATTTATCGCTGCATGGGTATTCAGGACATGCGGCTGCCCTCATCTTGGTTAGCCCCATTCCCTCCCTCCCTCCCTCCCTCCCATCTTCCCTCAGATCACGGACAGCTGCCCCTGCCACTACCCGGGTAACGCCTACTCCAACAAGCGATGGTGCTGCGGCGACATGTACCATATGGATCTCTCCACGTGGGCCTTTGAAAAGGTACGACACGTGTATGTCATAGCGTACGGAATCAGTGGCGTACGACTAAGCCTTACCTTGACCTTTCTTCGTCCCCTCCGTACGCCGTTCTCATGCTGTTAGCACCCTGCCTACACTTGTCTTTGATTAGCCTACGCAACAAGGCCTGCTGACAACCCTGCTGTCTCCTGGCTGATGAGCTCACCATGCCGTAAACCATGCCGTACACCATGCATACTTGTGCGCCCGCCGTGTGGTGTGTCGTGCTTGTACACAGCTCGCAGACAAGAAGTGGGGCGTAATCGGGCTCCTGATTCGCCAGATTCCCTGCTCGCACCAACCATCCAAGAGCGCCCAACCGCCAGCCGAGCGGACACCCTTCGTGTCGCGCATTCACCGACCCTGGAGCTGGCATGACCGCAGGTTGGTTGGTTGGTGGGTGGGACGGGCTGTTGGTTCTGCGTACATATGTATGTTAGCTGTTGCAAGCTTGAATTGGTTGGCTGGATAACGGTAGCTGGTTAGTTAGGAGCATGAAGTGGCTCTTTGCCTGCGTTACTGCTGCATGCGCGTTTTATACATTCCTGCGTCTTTACAGCGCAGCTCTGACCTTTGTTGCGCGGTTTCGGTGGCGGCACTGCGGCATTCCTTCTCCGCAGGCCATGGTTCAATTAAGGGGTGCTTTAGCTGATGTCAACCCGCGCCAGCATGCACGGCAGACCGTCTTCGGCACCTTCTTCCAAGGATAACATGGGGTTAGTCTTGCCTGACTTCCCCGCTTCCACCTACCAACGTCTTCGGTTAGAAGTCAAAAGAGCCGAGACATCCACGTACGACGACGGACAAGTAAGGACCGGATTAGACATGTGCTCGTGTGGGTGTGAGAGTGTGCGTGTATATATACGTGTGATATGGACATGGCCGCCACTTGCACTCCTCTACCTAGTAGTATCCATTCGACATCACTGTTCTGCGTCACGTGACGGTGGGGTCGCCGCGCGGCTGTGCTCGTGAAGCTTGTGCGTGTGTGTTTTGTTGCGTGCTTGGGGTTGTACGGCACCACGTGGGAGACTGGGATGGGAGACTGGGCCGCTTGCTTGGTCTTTAGTTTTCACCACCATGTACGCATACATCGCTATCTACTGCTGCCGCCTGCTGCTGCTCCTGCATGCTCTTGCTGGTGAGCACGGCGAGGTGCGGCCTAATCCATCCTCTCACAATTTTGGCTTGGTTTGGGTGACGCATGTGTTTTGCTGGACTCTCGTGGCCCCAGTGCTGTAATAGATTGCTACTGTGCTGTGGAGGTGGATGTGAGTGAGGGTGGATGTGCGGGGGTGTGCTGATTGCTGTGAAGTGCATGCATTGCTGCTGCTGAGGGGCGGTTCTTGCAAGCCAGATATGTATGTTTGGGTGGCTGTATGTGGCGGGCAGTGAGGTAGGTTGAACCTGAGGTCTAGGAGCGTGCAAAGCCCGAGTTAAGGTTACTGCTGGGAAGGGTGGGTGTATGTGTGCGGCATGTACGGCACATGGTACTCCCGGGCATTTGGGTGTTCACGTTTCACGCACTGCGAAGAAGAAAGCGAGCGTGCTAAGGTCATTAAAGCAGGGTGGGGCCGTGCCGTGTTTCAAGTCCGTACGTCCGCCTCTCCATGTGGGAGTTTTGTTTTGTTGGGTTGGGTTGGGTTGCCAACAAGTTGTCATTCGGAATGGTCAGTTGCTCATGAGTTGGTGTTGAAGGTTGGATGGTATACATTTCACCCCCCTGCCGGCTCATGGTCCAGATAGCAGGGTCTAGCAGCAGGGTGGGGCGCCCTAACAGGCCTGTTGGCCTAACAACAGGCAGCCGCATTTACAGAGCCTGTCTGGGCTAGTTGCAGAGAGCACTCATGTGAACAGCTGTCAGTTGTTGCTCTAGATCTACCTCATTAGAAGCGGTTGTGGTGGGATAAACTTGTCATCACTGAAACAGTTATGCTGTTGTTGATTGCTGTTGAAAGCAACCGGAAATATCGGTTTACGGCTTCTGCTGTCTGTAGGTGTATCCTGACATACCGATACTACTCTTAATTGCTTATGTCAAGTTCCCAACTGCACAAAGAAGCATGTTGCACGCCTCCCTGTGCCCTTCGTTCCCCACAGATCGCCAGCCTGCCTTATGCACTGCAGACATTTCCTTGCCCTCCCATAAGTCCCATTCTCATACCAGCCTCATGTTGCAGCCCTCTCACTTGCGTTCCCACACGTGACACCTCTTCCATCCTTCCTCAAGCTGCAACCCTTCCATCAGCGCTCCCTCATGCCGCGCCCTCCTATTCATCCCCCCTCCCTTACACGGCATCCCTCCCATATACCGCCCCACATGCGGCATCCCTCCCTCACGCCACCCCTCACGCGGCGTCCCTCCCACACGCCATCCCTCACGCGGCGTTCCTCCCACACGCCACCCCTCACGCGGCGTCCCTCCCAGACGCCACCCCTCATGTGGCGTCCCACACGCGGCATCCCTCCCACTCCTTACATGGGGCCCCTCACACTTGATCTCCCACACTTGACACCCCTCGGGACAAGGGATTGGGACTCTAGTCAGCTCTAGTTGCACTTATTATAAGTCCCCTCCCACTCTTTATTATTGTAACTCGGATCAGCAGGTAGGGCCAGGGTTTCGAGGCTCAGTTTATTAAACTCGCTACCCCTCACACTACATTTAAGAAGAGCAAGTTCGCCAAACTCCAACGTCCAGCTACGGCCTCATCCCTTGATATTGTCATAAATGTAGTAGTTAGATTACTGGGGGTGTTTCGATGGGAGCTCAGCGAAACCAAGCCTATCATTACTCAGTTGTGTAGGTGATAAAACCTGTCGTTTCGGCCCACATAAGCCTATGCCAGGGACTCCGTACGTGACTCCTCAGACATTTTATCAGGGTTCAGGGTTCCCTGAAGTCAACTCGCAACTTCGCCGCACGGCACAGCCAACAGCCAGGCAAACTACAGAGCAATAGTTATTGATAATTCCTAATACGTGCCCTGTGAGCGCCGGAAGGTGCTTCCGCGGCCACCTACAACTAACCATTGCGACCAGTTATGACTGGCTCAGCAGTGATTTGCCATTACATATTATTTAATATATGTCTTCAGCTGCTAAAAGGATGTGAATCGCACGTCTCATTTCAAATCACATCCAATACACTTGATGAGAACCTTATGCATTCACACAACAGCTTCTATATATAGTTATAGATATAATGTATAACTTGTAGAAGTGTGGAAGCAACGTGTACGCTTCTCTTTTCTCGTGTCGGACATGATGAGACTTAGTAGTACGACTCGACAGGTGCTGTCGAGTCTAGTCAGCTGTTGTACTAAGTGAAATAATTTGGCATCAAGGCTTTAAAACAAGCAGAGTAACATATGTATACTTTATATTATTGTAACGCTAAGCAGGTTTGCTTGAAATCAAAACAGCGAGGATACCATTTCTAACTTGCTTCCACTTCGTTCCTGCCCGACCACCCGCCTTGCTGCTATGCCCTTACTTGCGCCACAAGACGTGTTTGCTACTGGCTCCCATGCTAAGGATGGAGGATTCTCCAAGCAGAAGCAAGGATACAGGCTCCGATTGCCCCTATCCTAGCTATGCCAAACAGGTGCAGCCAAGCAATGAAAGCCTTCAAAAAGAGGAATACGAAGAGGAAGAGGACGCTCAGCCCTGGACTGGGCTCGGTCGGTTGCCGGTAAGCGCCTGGTCATGTTCTGTTGGGAACCGCACTGCCGGAGCCGGAGCCGGGAGCCGGCGACCGTATTCTCGCCTCGAAGACGTCGCCTAGCAGCTCCTGTCGCTGTCTTCACTTTACTTCACCCAGCCTGCATATTATTGCCCCAAGTCCAGCAAATCCACCTGCCGCCGTAGGAGCGTGCTGATATCATTGGCAAAACGCCCACCTATGAGGACATCTTTAACAGCAGCAGACAAAGCCTGGCAGGAAGCTCCTACCGTTATCCAGGCCAACAGCAGGGCCTATTTAACAGCAGCAGCCAAATGACAGGTATCCAGCAGCCTGCCTGGCAAGTCTTACAATCTGGTGCATCTGCTGCTTAGCCGCTTTTCCATGCAACAGCCCATGGCTGTTGGGCCCTGTTAATATATAGGGCTGCCCATCAGTTGGTAGGGCTGGCCACTGCCACTGCTAGACCAAGCACCCCAGCTAGCAAGCTAACAAGGTGTCTTCTCTTACAGTAGTTAAGCTAGCTATCCTTCCCTATAATAAGACTCATCAACAGTAAGGGCTGAAGGACAAGGTAAGCTACATTGGCAACATACCGCGCCTTGTATCCCTGCCACTACACTCCTGCCTCAATCAAGAACAAACACCTCCCTATTGCTGTGTACTGGTATGTACAATCCCCTGCTAGCCCTGCCTCTTGAGCTGCTGCAACAGCTCGTGAGTGACACTCATCAACTGCAGCTTCAGCTCCTCCATCTGCTGCTCTAGGACCAGGCTCTCCATGTTTGCCTGCTGCAGCAGCCCCTCTATGACAGCAGTGTTCTGGCGTGTCTCCACCAGCTGTGACTGCATCTCCTCCATCTGCTGCTCCAGGGCCAGCTTCTCCATGTTTGCCTGCTGCACCAGCCCTTCTGTGACAGCAGAGTTCTGGCGCCTCTCCTCCTCCAACTTTGACTGCAGCTCCTCTATCCACTGCTCCTGGGCCAGCTTCTCCATTTTTGCCTGCTGCACCAGCCCTTCTTTGACAGCAGAGTTCTGGCGCCTCTCCTCCTCCAACTTTGACTGCAGCTCCTCCATCTGCTGCTCCAGGGCCAGCTCCTCCATTTTTGCCTGCTGCACTAGCCCTTCTGTAACAGCAGAGTTCTGGCGCCTCTCCTCCTCCAACTTTGACTGCAGCTCCTCCATCTGCTGCTCCAGGGCCAGCTTCTCCATGTTTGCCCGCTGCAGCAGCCCTTCTGTGACAGCAAAGTTCTGGCGCCTCTCCTCCAACAGCTGTGACTGCAGCTCCTCTATCCTCTGCTCCTGGGTCAGCTTCTCCATGTTTGCCTGCTGCAGCAGCCCTTCTGTGACAGCAGAGTTCTGGCGCCTCTCCTCCTCCAGCTTTGACTGCAGCTCCTCCATCTGCTGCTCCAGGGACAGCTTCTCCATGTTTGCCTGCTGCAGCAGCCCTTCTGTGACAGCAGAGTTCTGGCGCCTCTCCTCCTCCAACTTTGACTGCAGCTCCTCCATCTGCTGCTCCAGGGCCAGCTTCTCCATGTTTGCCTGCTGCAGCAGCCCTTCTGTGACAGCAGAGTTCTGGCGCCTCTCCTCCTCCAGCTTTGACTGCAGCTCCTCTATCCTCTGCTCCAGGGCCAGCTTCTCCATGTTTGCCCGCTGCAGCAGCCCTTCTGTGACAGCAAAGTTCTGGCACCTCTCCTCCAACAGCTGTGACTGCAGCTCCTCCATCTGCTGCTCCAGGGCCAGCTTCTCCATGTTTGCCTGCTGCAGCAGCCCTTCTGTGACAGCAGAGTTCTGGCACCTCTCCTCCTCCAACTTTGACTGCATCTCCTCCATCTGCTGCTCCAGGGCCAGCTTCTCCATGTTTGCTTGCTGCACCAGCCCTTCTCTGACAGTAGAGTTCTGGCGCCTCTCCTCCTCCAACTTTGACTGCAGCTCCTCTATCCACTGCTCCAGGGCCAGCTTCTCCATTTTTGCCTGCTGCACCAGCCCTTCTGTGACAGCAGAGTTCTGGCGCCTCTCCTCCTCCAACTTTGACTGCAGCTCCTCCATCTGCTGCTCCAGGGCCAGCTTCTCCATGTTTGCCCGCTGCACCAGCCCTTCTGTGACAGCAAAGTTCTGGCGCCTCTCCTCCAACAGCTGTGACTGCAGCTCCTCTATCCTCTGCTCCTGGGTCAGCTTCTCCATGTTTGCCTGCTGCAGCAGCCCTTCTGTGACAGCAGAGTTCTGGCGCCTCTCATCCTCAAGCTTTGACTGCAGCTCCTCCATCTGCTGCTCCAGGGCCAGCTTCTCCATGTTTGCCTGCTGCACCAGCCCTTCTGTGACAGCAGAGTTCTGGCGCCTCTCCTCCTCCAACTTTGACTGCAGCTCCTCCATCTGCTGCTCCAGGGCCAGCTTCTCCATGTTTGCCTGCTGCAGCAGCCCTTCTGTGACAGCAGAGTTCTGGCGCCTCTCCTCCTCCAACTTTGACTGCAGCTCCTCCATCTGCTGCTCCAGGGCCAGCTCTTCCATGTTTGCCTGCTGCAGCAGCCCTTCTGTGACAGCAGAGTTCTGGCGCCTCTCCTCCTCCAACTTTGACTGCAGCTCCTCCATCTGCTGCTCCAGGGCCAGCTTCTCCATGTTTGCCTGCTGCAGCAGCCCTTCTGTAACAGCAGAGTTCTGGCGCCTCTCTTCCTCCAGCTTTGACTGCAGCTCCTCTATCCTCTGCTCCAGGGCCAGCTTCTCCATGTTTGCCCGCTGCAGCAGCCCTTCTGTGACAGCAAAGTTCTGGCACCTCTCCTCCAACAGCTGTGACTGCAGCTCCTCCATCTGCTGCTCCAGGGCCAGCTTCTCCATGTTTGCCCGCTGCACCAGCCCGTCTGTGACAGCAGAGTTCTGGTGCCTCTCCTTCTCTAACTTTGACTGCAGCTCCTCCATCTGCTGCTCCAGGGCCAGCTTCTCTATGTTTGTCTGCTGCACCAGCCCTTCTCTGACAGTAGAGTTCTGGCGCCTCTCCTTCTCCAGCTTTGACTGCAGCTCCTCCATCTGCTGCTCCAGGGCCAGCTTCTCCTTTTTTGCCTGCTGCAGCAGCCCTTCTGTGACAGCAGAGTTCTGGCGCCTCTCCTCCTCCAGCTTTGACTGCAGCTCCTCTATCCGCTGCTCCTGGGCCAGCTTCTCCATGTTTGCCTGCTGCAGCAGCCCTTCTGTGACAGCAGAGTTCTGGCGCCTCTCCTCCTCCAACTTTGACTGCAGCTCCTCCATCTGCTGCTCCAGGGCCAGCTTCTCCTGCTGCATTTGCCCCTCTATCACAGCTGTGTCCTCCACCAGCTTTGACTGCAGCTTCTTCACATGCTGTTCCAGGGCCAGTTTCTCCATATTTGCCTGCTGCTTTTGATCATCTAGCAGCTCCTGCATATGCTTTACATTTCTATTCAGGGACGTGTTCTGCTGGCCTGCCTTATCACACTGCCTCTGCAGCTCGTCCTCATCAAGCTGGATATGATTGTTCTTGGCCTTCTCCTTTTTCTCCAGCTCAGATGCTGCTGCCAGGATTAGGGCAGCCCCCTGACCAGCTACCATGTGCATAGCTTTTGCTGCCTGAGTAGCTGCCCGGCACTGCTTCTTCTGCTGCTGCACCCGTGCATCCTTCAGCTCCTGCTCTAGGGCTGACTTTTCAGCCTCCAAACGTACCACAACCTCCTTTGTCTTCTCCACCTCAGCTCGTGTCTTGTGCAGCTGTCTAGCCAGTTGCCTAGCATGCCAGGCAAAGGTTGCTCGGTGACAATCCTGGAAAGCGGGAAATGCATGTAAGAATTTTGCAATGTAATTGACTTGTGCAGAAATGCATAACGTGTAAAACGTAGATTTGTAATCCTTATGTATGCGCCTGGGTAGTCTTGCACAGGAAGGCAAGCCTATCTGCAAATAATGCGTTTGCATTGGCTAACACAAGAGAGCTTAATGTCCGTAATCTATACACCTGCTGAGCTTCCGATGAAGGGTGCGTTGTTGCTGGAGCACAGCAAGTCCTCATATCTGCTACAGCAGGTATCATGCCCAAGCATCTAAGCACGCGATATCCTGTAGACCAGAATGTGGGTCTTCCGTAACATACTAATTAGTTCACTTACTCTGTGCTGCATCTATGGACGTCTCCTGCTCGCCAGGCCCGTGCGTGTCAGTGCTCCTTCGGGCGAGTAGCTGTAAGCTCTATCGGTACTACTCTTTATCAATTATTTCTATAAACCCAGTGAACTGGTGGTGAAAGCCTGCACCGTACTTTAGGTTGACAACCTATACAGGACGGAACGTAACCGCTGCTATCTACAGAGCAGATAATGGCTTTGGATGATAGATACACGTGAACAACTACGTGCTGCAGAAGCTGCGTTAGGCTTGACTTCATATATGGTGAGCAATGACATACATAGACCAAATGGGGTCGGCAAAAGTCAAGAACGTACGGCCGGCGGACCGGAGGTGGAGCGAGGAAATGTGCGATTGTGCGTGCCGATTTGCCATAAACATGTCCCAACATCCTATATTTGATAACTTATAACGTGTTTACCTATGGGGCGCACTAATTGCGACATTCATAGGCTCAAAGTTGTTGCTATAAGCAAAAAGTACGCTACAAACTACAAAGTGGAAGCTGTCATGCTGCAGTTGGGTGGTCTTCAGACGTGCAACAGTTGCATGAAATCGGTATGGCAACACGCACAATTGACAGGACCTGTCAAGTCTCGTGCCTGACCCGCAGGCTTTTGCCAGTTTGCCAGTCCAATTGCCAATCTTAGTCTGTTTGGTATACTATGTATCTTAATGGCGCGTGTTAGCCTTACACGCACACTGGCCTTCATGGCTCATTTCGATGGAGCTTACAGACTTGGAAACGATGTGTGATGATGCTGTTGGTGCTTGTCTTAGTCTTGTTATAGTCTTGTTGATAGATTCAGCTACGACATTGACGGGCGGGCAAGGAAAGGTCTTCTATCTCTGCCAGAAATGTGTCCGCAATAATGCCACTGGAGGCTCAGAGCGAGCCCAGCCCGCGCTCCTCGGAGCGCCTGCGCTCTAGCAGCAGCAGGCTGCGGCTCGCCGCTGCAGTGTCCGGAGCGCCCAGAGGAGCTAGCAGCAAACACCCAGCGCATTGGGTAAGTGTGTGGTAGGAACGAACTCATGCTTTGCTAGATAGGTAGGAATTGTGCCTATAGTCAGCTAAAGGGCACGTTCTCCTACGTGCAAAGCTTGCTAGAAATGAGGAAACTATCAGACCAGGCCCGCCCTTTACCCAACCTGTGCATTGCTCCCCACTACAGCAGTGAAGACCATGACACGGGAGGGGGCAGGCAGCCAGCATGCTATGATGGACTGGCAGGCCCTGTGGCAGCTGGCTATGGTGGCTCACAGGCGGCCGGTGAAGGTGTGTCATTGCTACATGCTTGTGAACACGTGCTCTGCATTTTACGAGCACATGTACTGTGTAATCCGTTGACATGGTATAACCTATCTAAGCAACCTTCTTGCCATCCCCACCGCAGGGGGTGCACTGGATGTGGATGGCGGCATAGCATGCCTGTGAATGGATAGCCCTGGTGGTTTAACAGCAGACAAAGGTGCGTGGTGCATAAAGGGGTTCAGATATGTCACCAGCCAAGGGTCCCAAAGTAACCTTCAGACCCTGACAAATGAAGCTTTCCTTTCAGTATCATATCATGTATGTGACAGATACCATATATATAATGTATGTGACGATGGAATGTGCAACTCCACGCCTACCCATCCAGCTGTGTTAACAGAAAATGAGGAGGAGAAGCAGCTCCCTGTCCGTGGCGAGCAGAACACAGCTCGGCAGGCAGCAGCCTGCCAAGCCTTCTGTGAGAGGCGCAAGGCAGCAAGCAGGAGATAAGTGTTCGGAGCCGGAGCATGAGCCTTCTCAGCAGAGTGGCAGACAGAGGTGCACATAGCCTTGCAAACATAGGTAGCTAGCCGCTGCGGCACGGGGAGCTCAGGGAGTGTAATGGGATTCATGTAAGGGGGGATAAGGGGTGGGGGGCATCACCTTACTTGTGTAACTGCGAACTAGGTTGTTATTGACGATTATGACTGAGTAGAGGACAGCTGAGGCATAGCATGGTGTGTGATGACACTGTCATATGTTTGACACTTGTGACATACAGGAGTGCGCATGTGTGTGACATGCGTGCACATGTGTGGCATCTCATCGAAGTAGGTTCATACGTATTATAGGGGGGATCCACTCCGCCGTATATTTCATTTTATAGAAAGTGGCCTTCCGGAATCACTGTACCTAAATATGGAGCCTAAAGATGGACGATGTGGCTCTGTAATACGGAAAGGCATGTGGTAGTGAATCTTATTACCAAGCACCCTCATTTAGAACACCAAGCTAGCTATGTAGCTATCATTTGCCACTGCTGCATGGTTCTGTTCTTTCCGTATTGTACTTCCATATACTGTCAATGGTTTTCATAATTAAGGCATTTTGGGGAATACGGACTGTTTCCTGGAATAAGGATGGCTAATATAGGATTCGAATGAAATTTTCCAAACAAATGTACCCCTGCACTGTTACATTTTGACCCATAGCGATAGGACGGATGGCCAATTACGAAGTCCTACCCTGCGCTGGAATACAATGTATGTTGTTCTCTCCAGGATACTCGCTGCTGTGGTTTGTTGTGGGCATACATGGTCATGCATGCATGCAGCAGGTCGCACAGATTTGTATGTATGTCATAACATAGGATCAGGGTCACATACAGTACATGCATTCATAAATGAGATGAACGGATGGAAGAGTCTTAATGTTGTCAAGCATGCATGTTCAGTGATCCAGTCCTTCCTGCGCTGTATGTGGCCAGCAGTCATTATCAGGACTACGATGCATCAGCAGGGCTGCAGTGAGCTAGGCAGAGACTTTGTATCTACCTAGCTATGTAGCTAGGCAGGGTGGCTGGTCAAGGTCGTGAATGCAAAGGCCGCCCACCCTTCACTCCATGTTGCCCCAGCAGGTAGCTACCGTACCTGTGTCTGATCACCGCGCAGCAGGAAATTTAGGGATTTTGTTTTTTAACGCGCAGCGCTGTAAGGAAATAATTTTTTGTAACGCGCAGGGGTCTGAGCAATTATTTTCCACTTCGCGCAGCCTTTAAAGTAGTACTGCAGTAGCCTGAAGCTTTTACTAGAAAGACCGGAAAAGCAGAGCAATGAACTTAAAGCTACGGCTTAAAACGGATCAGAGAGGAGGTGTAGGTATGGATGGGGCCAGGAAAAGAGCGAAACTCGGAATTTCGAGTCAGCACGCACTGGTGGCCACGCCAGCCATGGGCAATTTTTTAGTTAACGCGCAGTCCTTTGGGGAATTAATTTTGATTAACGCGCAGGCCCCGGACCAATTATTTATTTTTGCGCGTTAATACACAATTTTCCAAATAATTATTTATTTTTGCGCGATGATCACCGGGAGCGAGGTACGGTACATGTATGTTGGGCTAGCTGGAGACTCACCGCCGGTGTGGAGAGCGAGGGAGAGTGATTTCACCTCGATGATGCGGTTTGCTTGCATTTATGTATATATGCACTGCATGCGCTCGCCCTGCCTGCATGCATGGCACTGTATGACGAACTGCTACTGTATGCGAGTGTTCCCATCATTGTAGGCTGCTTGCTGCCTTTTCGCTGCAAGCAGCTGCATGCATGTGCCTGCGGCATGTGCATTGTTATGTCATGTTGTTAATTGATAACAAGCAACACCATCCACATTTTTCTTTTAGCATGCTGCTGGGAACGAACACACTATAGTTGTAGTACTGCTCTTCTGAAAGGCATCAGAAGAGCACTAGTACTCAATGCCGCGGTATTTTTGCAATTCAAAAGCGTGGATTGGGCAAGTAGTGGATAGGGCGACACCTCTGCTGTGATGTGTTTCAGGAAGCCCCATAACACTTACGTACCATTCAGCGGTCCTAGGCTGTCGATTGCGGAAATAATATTGTGCGTACTGGTCGCTCCACAACCCCACACAGCCACGCACAGCCGCCTCTGCTCAGCTCAACCCTCCCGGCTGCAGCCAAATGCCCCACACCCATACCGTACAAGCAAAGAGAACAGCACGCCAGCAGACATCATCTCCACTACTCATGTATCTATGCGTGGATGGTAACGACATGTTCCCATTGATTGCTGTATGTGCGTGGAATCTTTTGCCATGTTCATCTCCTTGCTTACGATACCCAAATCAACCAACAACCATGCATTTCCATCCACGAGGAAAGACAACGTAGATTAAGTCTGACACCAAAAACACGACCCCACAGAGCGAGGAATGATACGTACACACCTTCCATCCGCCCGGCCAACAAGCAGCAGCACTGTGCCTAACTAACCATCTCCAGCTATCTATAATAAGCGGCCGGTTTAAACAAGAATGGCGCCCATCATCCTGCCTACCATCTTTGAACCCCCTGCTGCATGCTGCTGCCACGCATCCCTGCATCAGCAGCATTTACCACGGTAGGATAGGTGCTCCCCGCCGCCCCTGTAACAAAAACAACGCCTTGCCAGCCACCATCCAACAATGAACCCATCACCAGCAAGCAAGATAAGCAAGCGCATTACAAGTAGTCCTGCCCCCGCCACACATCACTGCTGCTGTGATGCAGATAGCAGCAGTGCGTGTCATCTGGTGCGTGCTTGGTGCCCATGCCCATGCATGCGGGTGGGTCGTCATCAAGCAAGCAAGCAAGCACATACGAATTTCGACGACAGCAGCACGCAACGGTGCCGCACCTCATTGCTCCGTCCTCACAAGCACGCAGAGTTTTCATCCCAGCAGCAGCGGACATACAATCAGCACTTACTTATTAATACCTCACCCTTGCTACCTCGGCTCAGCATTCCAGTAGCTCATCACGTAAATTGGGCCTCATCAGCTAGATAGCAGCCTACCTCATCCCGCACATACACCACCACTCCATCCCACCCTAGCTAGTACAATCCTGCCCGCCCCACCTGCTCCCCACCCACCCAGCAGCAACAGCAGCCCGCCCTACAAACTAACTGAAGCAGCGAGCAGAAAGCATTCCCGCTCCCCTATTCGCCGAGCGAGCTTCCCACAAACGAACCGCCGTAAACAGTTTCAACGGTTCAACAGTCATTACCGGTATGTATATGTATCACGCACGTCCAATGCAAACTCCCGCTCCAATCCACCACCAGCTCCCCCACCCGCCCCCAAACACCTACCTACACTCCTTACATATTTTCTCCTTCCTGCCTTTCCTCCTTACCGCTGCTGGCCCCCCTCATTTCTCCCTGCTGCCCCCCC